CCCCCCAAAAAAAAAGAAATACCAGCTTTTGGTTTCATTATTTTTTCTCTACTGATCCTTTTTGTTTTTCATTTCACTGATTTCTATTCTGGTCTTTATTGTTTCCTTTCCTCTATTTACTTGGTGTTTCACTTGCTATTTCTAGTTTGCTTAAGATGGACTGTAAGGCTACCAACTGGAACTTGCTTCTTTTAGAACACCGGTGTTTAATGCTATACATTTTCCCCAAAGTATTGCACAACGGCAATATGCCTCAAACTTTGATATGTTGTTTACTTGCTAGTTTTCCTTTTGGTTTCTTCTTTCCACATGGGTTATTTACTGTGTGCCATTCAGTTTCCAAATATTTGCAGATTTTTTAGAGATGTTCTGCTATTGACTTCTAGTTTAATTATGGTCAAAGAACAAACTTTGTATAACTTGAATCCTTTCAGGTGTATTAAGGCTTGTCCTATGGTCCAGAATATGGCCTGTTGGTTAAGTATTCTGTGTATCTGAAAAGAATGTGTGTTCTACTGTTCCTGGATGGAATATTGTGTAAATGTCATTTATGTCAGTTTTATTATGTTTATTCTATAGATTTACTGGTTTTCTGTCTATTTTTTCTATAGTTTAAGAAGGGGATGTTGAATCTCTGATTATAATGATAGATTTGTCTGTTTATCATGTGGTTCTTTCATTTTTTGCTTCATTTATTTTGAAGTTCTATTATTAGGTATGTAAACATTTAGGATTGTTATGTTTTCCTGATGAATTGATCCATTTGTCAGTATGAAATTAAATTATTTGTGATAACACTGTATGTTCTAAAATTTACTTTAAAACCTAACATCTTCTTTTAAATTAGTGTGAGTATATCTTCTCTATCATTTTATTTTTAACCTAATTTATATCTTTATCTTTAAACATTTCTTGTAGGCAGCATATAGTTGGATCCTATTTTTTTAATCCAATTTCATAAACCCTTAATTTAATTTGGGTGTTTAAACCATTTGCATTTATTGTGATTAATGATATTACTAGGTTTGAGCTCAATATGTTGCTATTCGTTCTGTGTTCCTTTTTTCCTGTTTTTATTTTCTCTTTTTGCCTTTTTTGGGTTGTGTATTTTTTTTTTCCAGCAGGAAACTGTTTTATTTGGCTGCAGCCAGGTTCAGAGGGTACAGCTTTTGTTGTAATCAATCAATCCCCTGAACCCCAAGTTCAGGGAGTTTCAGAGGGGTTGTGTATTTTTTATGATCTTATTTTATCTTCTTTGTTGGCTTATGAACTATAATTCTCTGATTTGCTAGTTCAGTGTTTGCTTTAGGGTTTATGGTATTTGTCTTTAGTTTATCACACAGCTCACTTTCAAGTGATATTATATCACTTTGAATATAATGATAACTTTATAAACTAGATACTTCCATTTATCCTCTTTAGCCTGGTATTATCATACATTTAATTTTTACATGTTATAAATCTCACATTACATTATTACTATTATTTTTGATTTTAATTTTTGAGACAGAGTCTTGCTAAGTTGCTGAGGCTGGCCTCAAACTTGTGATCCTTCTGTCACAGCCTTCCAAGTAGTTGGGATTACAGGTGTGCACCACCATGTCTGGCCACATTATTATTTTTGCTTACATAATTATCTCTTTTTAAATTTTTTTATATTTGTATATGGACACAATACCTTTATTTTATTTATTCATTTTTATGTGGTGCTGAGGATTGAACCCAGTAGTCATATGTGGTAGGTAAGTGGTCTACCACTGAGCTATGACCCCAGCCTGCATTATTATCTCTTAAAGAGATTTAAATGATAAGAACAAAAGTTGTAGTGTTTGCTCATGTTCTTATCATTTGCAGTGCTCATCATTCTTTTGTGCAGCTTGATATTTCCTTTGGAGATCTTTCTGCCGCATGACCAGCACGACCAGCACGCTAGCTTCAAACTAGAGGTTCCAAACATAGAAGTTAACTAGTGAGATCAAAATAAAGACACATTTTACCTTTTTCTTGCCCAGCTAAGAGACAGTTTCTCCGGGCTCCTGCCTCGAGCCACCTGGCGGTAGCAAGGTTTACACAAGAGACCAGCAGGAGAGAGAGAGGTATGCCAGAGAGTGAGCTTTTATTGGGGAACAAAAAATTCAGGGGAAAATTCCATCCAATGAAGGTCAATGGGGACAGCATTCCAAGGTCAGGGTCAGTGACTGGTTTTCAGGTCAATGGTCAGTCACATCCCCACACAGACAGGCCCTCGCACCTGGAAAGCGTGGGGAAAGCTCTGACTCAGCTGGTCTGAGTACCTCACACCCAGTCAGGGAGGTACCCAATCACGTGTGAGAACAGCTTCCCACAGATCTTTTTCCATCTGCCTGAGACTTCCCTTAACACTTCTAATGGTATGGTCTGTAGGTCAATTCTCTCAGGTTTTCTATATCTGGAAAAAATAGTGAGCCTTATCTCTTCTTTTGGAGGATGGGAGGGTTAGAGACTGAATTCAGGGTCTCAGGAATGCTAAGCATGTGCTCTATCTCTAAATCTGGTGCTGGAGATAAAACCTAGGCAAATGCTCTTCCACTAAACTACCCCACCAGCCCCGTCCTTCACTATTTTTTGTGGGGTACCGGGGATTGAACTAAGGGACACTCAATCACTGAGCCACATCCCCAGCCCTGTTTTGTATTTTATTTAGAGACAGGGTCTCAGTTGCTTAGCATTTCACTGTTGCTGAGGCTGGCTTTGAGATCCTCCTGCCTCAGCCTCCCGAGCCACTGGGATTAGAGGTGTGCACCACCACGTCTGGCCCCACCTTCATTTTTGCAAGATATTTTTAAGAGGTATAGAATCCAAACTTGACACTACTTTTCTTTCAGTAGTTTAAATATATTGCTTTACTGTCTTCTCGCCGTGTGTTTTCCAATGAGGAATCCATTATGATTCTTATCTTTGTTCCCTAATATAAAAGATGTGTTTTTACTTTGGATTTGAAAATTTTCACTGGTTTTGAGCAACTTGATTTTGTTTTTTAGTATAATTGTCTTCATGTTTCTTGTGCTCGGGATTTGTTGAGCTTCTTGAATCTGTGGGTTTATAGTTTTCATCAGACTTTGGAAAAAAACCTTAATTTTTTCAAATAGTTTTTCTGTATTTGACTTCTCTCTTCTTTATTGGGGACTTCAATTATATATTTGTTAGACTGCTTGAAATTTTCCTATAGCTTACTAATGCTATATTTATTTTTAAAATATTCTGTGTGTTTTGTTTGGGATAGTTTCCATTTCTGTGTCTGTTCATTAAATATTTCTTCTGCAATGTCTAATTTGCCATCAAACCTACTTAGTTTACTTTTTATAATTTTTGACATTACAGTTTTCATCCTTAGAGAGTTGATTTGAATCTGTTTTATATCTTACATGTCTTTAACTTTTGAACACAAAGGATACAGTTGAATAATTGTTTACTGCTTTTATAGCCTAAATTTAACACGAGTTATTTCTGGGTAAGTTTAATTTGGTTGACTTTTCTCTTGTGTCTCATCATTTCTGCCTCTTCACATGTCTGATCATTTTTGACTGGAGGCCATACATTTTATCTTGTTAGATGATACTTGAAGGTAGTTTGATCTTTTCTGGTAGGATTTGTTATGTGAAATTATGTTTCAAGTCAGGTTGAATGCTAATTATTCTCACTACTGGTCAGGCTCCTTTTGTGTACTCTAACCAATGTTCCATGAATTATGAAGTTTTTGTTTAGAAGTTATCTAGCCTTTTTGGTGCTTGCTGTGTGAGCAACAGGTGGTGTTCCCACATGCTTTTTGGTGGTTCTTTCCTTGGCTTTGGTAATTTCCTCACATGCTTCTTTCTTTGTGTGCAGCTCTCTTTTCTCTAGTACCCTGTCTTATGAACTCAAGTTGCCTAGATCTATTCTGTACCTTAAATTCCATCTTAACAACTTCTGGCTTGGTGGGATCAGCCTGGGTTCTCTCTTCATGAACTGCAGGCTGTAATCTTGCTTAAGGTAATAAGTACCTCAGCAATAAATACCTCACCTAAATTATTTCCTGTCTCTGAGGGTACACTGGTCTTTGTTGTCTGAGGCCCAACTTGTTTGTTTTTGGTACTGGGGTTGGATCCAGGGATGCTCTACTATTGAGTTTCATCTCCAGTACTTTTTATGTTTTTATTTTGAGACAGGATCTTGCTAAATTGCCCAAGCTGGCCTTGAACTTGTGATCCTCCTATCTCAGCCTCCTGAGTTGCTGGGATCATAGGTGTGCACCACTTTGTCTGGCTCAAAACATTGTATTAGAGTTTGCATGAGTTGGTTTGTAAAGCATTGTTTGGTCCAGGGATCAAGGATTGGGTTAGGAAATAAATTCATCTTGCTTAGGGGAATCTGATTAAATAGTATGTTAATAAGGATTCTGAGGCTACATCTTGATTCCATAAGAAACATAGCCTTGAGGGCTGGGATTGTGGCTCAGCTGCAGAGTGCCCGCCTAGCATCTTTGAGGCCCTGGGTTTGATCCTCAGCACCAAATAAAAATAAATAAATTAAATAAAGATATTGTGTCCAACTAAAAAATAAATATTAAGAAAAAAGAAACACAGCCTTCAGATAATACTGGAATGTTAGGTATTTTGACAGTTTGATTAAATATATGGAGTATTTTGAAATAATAGTTCACAAGTTTATAACATTTCATGTAGTATTATAAGTACTATATATGTGTGTCCAACTCATTTACATCCCCAATAACTCATTGAATCTATTAATATCCTTATTCCGTAGGTAGAAAAACAGCATAGAAGGGTTAAATAACTTCTTCATATCACACATTTGGTAAATTTAGCTCCAGAGTTTATGCTCTTGTTTCTGTAATACTACTTTTCTAATAAACACTTAATGTTTCAGAAAAATTAAGGATAAACTATGTATCTCTACTTATATAGTATACAAGTGATAAAATGAATTTGTTGCTTGTTAATGTGAAAATGGCCCAAACTTACCAAACTTTTACCTTAGATTGGAAAGATTTGTATCTCATGTTTCTCATCATGTCTGATCCTTTGCGTTTTATTTCTTTAGGTTCCCTTGCCAGTTCCATTTTTGATCCACTCAGGTCTCTCGTGGGTGCTTCAGGAGGAGTCTATGCCCTGATGGGAGGTTATTTTATGAATGTTCTAGTGGTAAGAACTTTGGGAACAGAATCTATGGAGGAGGAGGATGATGATGATGATGATGATGATTTTTGCAGTGCTGTGAATTGATCCCAGGGCCTTGGGCATGCTAGGCAGGTGGTCTACCATTGAGCTATCTCCTTTGCTTCCGCTTTTTTCCAAAACAATAACTGTTACTTGGTTCAGAGAATCTTCATTTAACAATATTTAGGGAATACTCATCTTTCTGAGAATCATATGGCCCTCAGAGTTTATCCTTCATATTTTATATTTTCTTGTTATCTCAAAAGTAATGTGGATTAGCCAGGCAAGGTGGCACATACCTGTAATTCCAGTGACTCAAGAGGCTGAGGCAGGAGGATTGCAAATTTGAGGCGAATTTAAGCAATTTAGTTGAGGCCCTATCTCAAAATATAAAATAAAAAGAGTTGGGATGTAGTTCAGTGGAAGAACACCTCTGGGTTCTGTTCTAGTAGCAAGGGAAGGGGGAAGGACAAAGTAATGTGAATAAATAAAATTTTAAGTTTAAAAAAAGAAAGTCAAGGTTCCCAGTATAATGTCTTTTTAACAGTCTGACATGCATGTATAAACATTTTTCTATATGTATTTAAACTCCACCAATATTATACAGAAATGGCCTCCCCTTGTACTGTTCTGCATCTTCATGGGGCATCCTGGCCATCCACCCATGTCAGTACACAGAGAGCTCCCTCTGCCTTTGCAGGGCTCTAGAGCATCCTTTGTATATTTGTATCATGATTTTTTTTTTTTTAACAGAATCTCATTGAAAAAAAAGTGGGGTGGGCTGGGGTTGTGGCTCAGCGGTAGAGCTCTCACCTAGCATGTGCGAGGCCCTGGGTTCAATCCTCAGCACCACATAAAAATAAATAAATAAAACAAGGTATTGTGTCCAACTACAATTAAAAAAATAAATATTAAAGAAATGTGGGGCCATTTTGCTTTTCACATTATAAATAATGCTGTAGGGAACGTTCCTTTACATTTATGTTTTGCATTTGTGGTTTTTTTCTTTTTGATAGGATAAAATCCTAGAAGTGAACTTACTAGGTGAAAACTTAACATTTCAATATGCAAATTCCAAATTGCCCTCCAAAACTGGCATATAATTTTACATTCCCATGATAGTATGTGAGTGCCAACCATTTCTTAACACAGGAAAAAAATCCTGACTTGGCTTCAACCTTTTACCCATTTTAGGTATACTATAAAATCACTCTAGTAGGACAAATACCAAGCAATTCTAAAACTGTTCCAGAGGTATAAGTTACTTCTTAGAAAAATATTTTTCAAACGTTGGATTACAACCCATTAGTGGTTGTGAACTCAGTTGAAGGTCCTGGGCTCCAAAATCAAACAAACAAAAATTTCAGCGTGTGTCACATGGACTAGGAGAAGGCACTCTTTGATTTATGTGTGCAGTGGGTTGTTACATTATTTCTTACTGTAGGTCATGTTCACAGAAGCTTGAAAATAGAATTAACACCCCTGGTGCAGCATCTTCACTTCATAGGAAGGGAGTTAATAACTTGAAGGGGAGGGAGAAGCAACTCAGTAAATTAAAGTGGAGTATGTGACTCAGCAGTTTTTTAAGTGACACCAAGGCTATCACAGGCAGGCACATTTTTTCAAAGCTAAAATAGAACAATGTATTTTGATCAACATTTTCCTTTATTTTGAAATTACTTTAAAAAAAATTGAATTGATACTCAAATTTTAGTTAAGTCTTTGCTAGCTACTATGGGAAAAGAGAGTAAAGAAGTAGTGAATAGACGAGATCGGGCGCGTTTAGGGTGGTATGGCCGTAGACAGAAGTAGCGAATAAGTATTTCCAAAAAAAGCTTGGAACTACTGCATCAGTCTTAGGTTAATGGCATTTATTTATCTAACTATCCACCCATATATTCATTTTTTGACATATTCAGTGTAGACTTTTTATTATCTATATTTAGATAATTTCCAGCTAATAAAATTTCCCCCTTCCCCCTCAGTTCTGGGGATTGAACCCAGGGCCTTGTACATGCTAGGCAAATGCTTTACCACTTAGCTGTACCCACAGCCCCCTAAATTGAGTCATAAATCATAGAATTAAATGCCATGCTTCATTTTATTGTCCAAAGTGCACTAGCATTGTATTTCTTAAAAACTTTTTTAAAAAACTTGGCTGTTACAACAATGCTTTGTTTGGCAAATATCTGATGCTTAAACATAGGTTTCAATCACAGAGCTGGTGAAGAGGGGGTAGAGCTGAGGTTTCCTTTGCCAACAGATTGCTTACATTATTGTGACTTATCTCTTTGCAAGAATTTTCGAGAAATGATTCCTGTCTTAGGAATTTTCAGACTACTGATCATCATCCTTATAGGTAAGTGAGTTCGGGGAATATTTTACACCTTTGGTTTAATTGGATCCACCTTCAAAAGGCCTTTTCACATTTCCCAAACACTGCCTAGGGTCAGAAAGAATTGTTGGCTTCATAGGATTAGGCATGAAGGGAGGAATTTCACAGGAACCACTTCAGGGTGGTTCTTAGAGGGGCCTGGTGAAGTGTTTGGGCTTGTTGTTTCTTTCTAGAGTGGGGAAAGCCAACAAAGCAGAGCTCTAGGTGCCCCCTCTACTTCAACCATAATGTTTTATAAACTGGACTTTCTCTTTCAAATGTTGGAGACTGTATGTGACTTTTGTCTGCAAAGGAAAAGCCTGGAAACCACTGAGATATTCTGCTGCCTTCTCAAGTTTTACATTTTCAGATTAAAAAAAAAAAAAAAAAAACTGATCTAGGATATAAACTCTGAGTGGCAGCTGAGGACTGAGGACAAGAGAGTGGAGGTCAAGGAACCGAGAAGCTCAAGAGCTAAGAGAGTGACTAAGGTGGCTTTTGAAATCTCTATGAATTCTACAATTACACGCTAGAGGAGTTTTGGTTTGGAAGAACACGCCATCTGGGTGGGGGGGGGGGCTGGATTTTTTTTCTTTTTGGTGTTGGGGATGGAACCCAGGACCTGGTGTTTGACAGGGAAGTGCTTCACCACTGAGCCACATCCCCTGTCCTGAGAGGCTGGGATTTTAACTGAGTCTGAAAGTAAGGATAGATTTGGGTACTAGCAGGACATACAAGGTAGAAGAAAACAAGGGCAGAGGCATGGGTGGTAAGTTTTCAGGGGCCTGCTTCCGGTGGAGCTATACCCATTGGGGGAATTGGGGGAGGAGGACAGACCCTGGGGTCAGACTTGAAAGCCAAGGTAGAGGTCACACTTGGTAAAATTTCGGGTTTTTGGTATCAAGGTTTCCATATTCCACATATAGGAACAGGGGCAACTGCCTCTGTGGAAAGATCCTAAATTTAGTTTATGAACCACTTAACTATAAAAATATCAATATTTCATTCTGAGTTCACTTGTTTATAGCTTATACCATACTGTAGATAATTTCTTTTCATAAAAAATAAAAAAGTTAAGGAAAAATTGTTGGAAGAGAAGGGAAAAGCAAATATCTGGCCCCTATGGGAGCTTCTCAGTTGTTAAGAGTCACCATCAGAACCCATGAACCAGTCATTTGAGCAAACAAATGTTGTCATACAAGTGACCTGGGTCTTTAGTCAATCTGCATGAAGTCTTTGTAGAATAAGCCTCACATCCTTAGTGGGGAAATGATTTTCATGCTTTTCAAAGTTGAAGTGAAAACCCTTGCTTCATGTGCAGTGTATCTCCAAAGGTGGTTTCTGTGATGTTCTGTCATTATTATTATTATTATATTATTATGCATTATTAGTGCATACTAAAATCACCACATGACCTGCGTCGCTTTGTAGGATCTGCTATTGTCAACCTTCCCTGATCCTGACATATCATTTCTAAAAGTTTTTTGGCTTGAAAATGAGAATAAAAACACATACCAGATTCGTAAAATTACAAATTAAGGAATATAAATATATTTTAATTTGAAACACATTTCTTGAAAACATGTACATTGTTTGGTTTTCTTTTAATTGGTAAACATTACCCTTAATTGTGAAGGATAATTAGATTAAGGACCACATTCATGGGATATGTTATTTAACTAAGAAACTGAGCTTACCTTGGGCAAAAGTTAAGAAAAATCTCACATTTTCATCCTTAAAAAAAAAAAATCCACATAAAGCCAACTCCTTTAAAATAGTGTCAATAACTGGGTGTAGGAATACATTCCTGCAATCCCAGTGACTTGGGAGGCTGAGGCAGGAGGATCACAAAGTTTGAGTCCAACCTTAGCAACTGTGCAAGAGCCTGTGTCAAAATAAAAAATAAAGGGCTACAGATGTAGCTCAGTGATAAATACCCCTGGGTACAACCCCCAGGAACCCCCACCCCCGCAAAAAAATTATAAAAAAGTGCCAACTTTTTAATGAGGCAGCAATTAGGTTTATTGGAATTAGGGCCTCTTTTCAGGTGGGAAGACATGTTTCAGTTTAAAGGCTGCAGCAACCCAGGAGCAGACTCCTCTAGGAGGCAGAAAGAGCTAGGCAGTGATATAAGAAGGGGAAGATAAACAAGAGAGAAATGGGATGGAGAAATTGAGATGGTCACAGAGACTTTTTTTTTTTTTTTGAGGCTGTCCCCTGCTGTGGAAGACTAAAGTGAAGGTTTCCTGTTGGCTGCCCTGGTCTTTGGCAGAGTTCTTTCATAGTCCTCCCTGCATGTTATTTATGCTGGATCAGGAAATGCAAATGATGAATGAAAATATGATGCAGAAAAAAAAAAAAAAAAGATGCAGCCCCATTTACCCAGCACTTTGTGTAACAGCCATTTACAATTAAATCACAATCAAAGTTGGGCACAGTGGCATGCATCTGTAATCCCAGTAATTAGGGAGACTGAGGCAGGAAGATCATAAATTCAAGGCCAGCATAGGCAATTTAGCTAGACCCTGTCACACAATAAAAAATAAAAAAGGGCTGGGGGGAAAAAAGGGCTGGGAATGTAGCTCAGTAATAAAGTGCCCTGGATTCAATCCCTAGTAGTGGGGAAAAAAAATTAACATTGAGTTAATGTTAATTTCGCCCTCAATCTCTGTCCCGTGACTTCAACATCAATATGATATTGAATGGGAAACCAGCCAGAACACATGGTCCTGATGCTGTTTTCCCAAAGGCAAGGACTAGGCCTTTCCATCTCCTAGGACACGGTGGCTCACTAAATAGAGCGCAGGGAACTGGGGGATGGGTGTGGAATGTGATAGCTACAAGAGATGTTTCCAAGCTCACATGTAGGGCAGAGTTCTTCAAGGCAAAGCAACCCAGAAACTCCTCTGTCAGCACAGACCTGACTTAGGAAGAAAGTCTAAGTTCTGGCTCTCATTTCTGTTGAGGAATGTGGACTCCTTTCCTTTCATGGTCCATTTTCAGTACTCTTGATGGTAAATAAAGGCAATTAGTATGGTGCATAAGAGTGGAGTCTTGGTTTCTTTATGTATAAAATGCCACCATTGTTCTTCACTTGGATTGCCACAAGTAATCCTCTAGTTGGTTTCCCTGCTCCTATTCTTGCTGTCTTATCATCTTTTTCCTATATAGTGGCCAGAATGATCTTTGTAAAAACAAGTCAGATCATGTCACTCCTATGATCAGAAGCTTTCACAGGCTTCCAATTACTCAGAGTAAAAATTAAAGTCTTTATAGTGCTTCACAAGGCTCTTATGAAATGTATCTTCTGCTGTGTGATCTCATCACCTACCACTTTGTCCTTAACTCTAGTCCAGAATCACCTGGAAGTCTTTTTAAAACAGAATGTGAACTTCATCCTCGGTTTCTTGTTCATAGGTTTAGGTGCAGCCTAAGAATTTTTATTTTTAAGAACTTCCCAGGTAATGCTGGTGTTGCTGGTTTTGGGAAAACACATTTTGAAAACCACTGATCCAGCCATATCAACTGCACTGGAACTCCCCAAACACACCAGGCACATTCCTGTCAAAGGGACTTTGTGCTTGCTCTTTTTCCTGCTTGGAACAGATTATTACTTCACATATCAGCATGGCCTGCTCCCTCATGTCATATTCTCAGGAGATCTTCCCTCCTATTAAAAGTCACATCCTATCCTTGGCATTCTTGACTTTCCTCTGTTATTTCCTTCACAATACTTAGCACTGTTTGATATAATGTATGTTTTGCTTGTTTGCTCCTCTAGATCATCAGCTCTATGGGGCTGTCTCTGAACTGTTCACTGCTGCATGTATACCAACTAGAATTGTGCCTGCTACACAGAGAAAAATCAATAAATCCTTGTTGGATGAATAAATATAAAATGGAATAATGATAGTACCTACTTCATAGGGTTGTTGAGAGGATTACTGAATTAATGCATGTAGACTGTTTAGAATGGAACCTGGAATAGAATAAAAATCAGGAATTGTTATATATCATTATTAGAGGGGAACCAAAAACAGTTGGTGCAATATTGTGGAGATCCTGGGCCTTCATCAGGGTGTTTTTCCTTCTAGTTGTGTCAGATATGGGATTTGCTCTCTACAGAAGGTTCTTTGTCCCTGAAAATGGGTCTCCGGTGAGTTGCTTTTTTTTTTTTTTTTTAATTAAAATTTTTTTATCAAAAGGGTCATTGAATAAGGGATACAACTCTATGATTTAGGGCAGTCAAATATCCATTTGGAAGTTTTAGAAAACTCGTAAGGAAATCAGACTTTTGGATTGTCCTCACTTACCTCACTGATCGCTGCACTTGCCATGTTGACAGCCATTCCAAAACAGGAGAGAAAGGATTTCCCTGTCCACAGAGAATAAAAAGCAGATTGAAATACAGTAATGAAAATTTGGCTCCATATGAATTTATAACACAAAGAGAACTGACTTTAAGTTTTGCTGGGATTAATCTTTAAGTCTGGAGTTTCTATTTGAGTATTTGTGTATATACTATTATTTTTTCAACTCTGCATCCCATTTCAATAGGATGTTCTCATAGAGATCCCTCATGGCCACTCAGTTCCTAGTCTCTTGGTTGGCATTATATAGAATCATCCTAAATGTAATGATGATCAAGAAGAATGAGAAACAATGGCCCCTGTTTTATGTACTCAGAATGGTTAAAAATGACATTTTTTAGCTTTGCATGTTTTAGAACATCTTTTCTCTGTGTACATGGGATTTTGTGTCTCTTCTGTTTTACCCGTAGTTCTCCAGACTTAGACTCTTGTTTGTTTATGATGGTATTTGTGTTTCACTAAGAGAGATACAGCCAAAACATGCAATTAGCATTTTCTTATTTCCACTTTTCTTCTTTTCTCCAAAGGTGTCCTTTGCAGCTCACATCGCAGGTGGATTTGCTGGAATGTCCATAGGTTATACTGTGTTTAGCTGCTTTGATAAAGCACTGCTGAAAGATCCAAGGTTTTGGATAGCAATTGCTGCTTATTTAGCTTGTGTCTTATTTGCTGTATTTTTCAACATTTTCCTGTCCCCAGCAAACTGACCTGCCCCTAATTTAAGCCCAATAATAAAAAGAGCCATATGAGGGAGAAATGGAAAACTTTATGAAGAAACAGAGTTCCAGCAAATGCTAACAGTTTTATAAAGAGTATAAAACAACACCTAACTCATCAGTTGCAAGCAAGGACTACTTACCAAAGGGCCTTCTGATTAGAGGAAGAACCTTCTGAATGCCAAGAGCAGGAAGAGAAAGAAAAAACACTAGTAGTAAAAGCCAGAGATTGGGTCTTCCAGGCACATGGTATGCATGGATATATTCTATAAAAGAGAACTGGCTTTACTTGGAGGACATACTTTGGAGACTGTTTCATAGAATCCATGGATACTGTACTATGTGAAAAATAAAAACTTCTCATATCTGTGTTATACTCTTGATATACTTTTTTTTTTTTTTTGTACTAGGAACTGAACCCTGGGATTACCCAGACCTTGGGCATACTAGGCAAATGTTCTACCACTGAGTTACATCCCCAGCACTTTTAATTTTGAGACAAGAGTCTCACTAAGTTGCCCAGGGTGGCCTTGAACTTGTGATCCTCCTGCCTCAGCCTCCTGAGAAGCTGGCATTATAAGCATGTACCATTGTGCCCAGATAAAGTATAGGTTTTAACAAGATTAAGATACATGTATTGCTCTGTAACTTGCTTTACAATATGACAGCGATCTTTCTGTATCAGTTCATAGAGACCTTTGTTCTCTGAGTTGAATGATACAGATAGTCCATAGTTAAACCATTTCTTTATTGGACTTTTAAATTGTGCTAGTTTTGTATGGTTACCAAGAGTGAATGTCCTAGTATATGCAGTATATTTTTAAGTGTTTGCTGAATGAATATTTCAAGTATCCAGTAGAAATGTTAATTGTGATAGATTTAAATTGCTCTTTGAGTATTTGTATCCAATTATATTCTTACCTAACATATACAAGTTTTCCTCTACTTTGAAAAAAGATGATATTTGAAATCTTGAAATTTTTGCATTTTGATAGTTAGAATATAATGCTTTATTTGAATTTATCTCTGACTACTGAGGATGAGTATTTTAAAGTTACCAATAATTATATATTACACAGCATATATGTTTTATAATATATAAACATTAATATACACATAATGTAAACAAGAATATATGTATATAATTGTTCCCTTGATGAAATGTTTCTGTTTAATCTAAAAAGTAGCTTTTCAGGGGAGGAATATTTATCTGCCATGGCCAATGCACCAGGTCACTAGCTCTGAAGAGACCTGTTTAATGACCTGAAGTACAATGTAATTGTTAGTAGAAAACTAGAGAGAGCAACAGAATTTATCTAACCATAAAATCGAGCATAACCCATTGATTATGGGCTGATGATGAAGTTATTATCTATTAAGAAAGAAAGATTCTTTTGGTACTAGAAATATGGGTTACATAACCAAAAATAGTGATGTTTTATTGGCAAAAATTACAGTAAAAACACATACAAACATCTCCTGATGTCTTAAATTTGACATCTCTGAATTACAGAGGAACCATTTATTTAGTTTAATTTGGAGCTCATAATGCTCTTCTAGATTGTATTTTACTATTAGGAATTCTTTAATAATTTTTTATCAGTGCATAATAATTAGACATATTAGTGGGATTTGTTGTTACATGTTCACATATGTATACAACATAATGTGGTTAGTTTCATTCCCTGGAAGCATTCTTTATCTGTGATGTCCAACAAAGTAGCCACTATGTACATGTAGCTCTTTAAGTTTCTATTAAACAAAATTAAAACTTCAGTTGCTGTCATACACAAACTAGACTGCAAGTGTTCAATTGCTGCATGTAGCTGGTGACTACCTTATTGGACAAAGCAGAAAGAGAATATTTCCAATGTTGCAGAAGTTAGTTCTATTGGCTAGTGCTGTTGTAGAATGAGCAGAAAGGGAAATGGATTTTAGTTGCTAGCTGACTCATCCATGGCGCTGAACTGACCAGAATCTGCTGTATACCTCAAAGGGATGCTTTCAGAGAAGCTGAAGACAGCCATGGTATAACTTCTAAGCATGATGTGCTTCTCAGATTTATCAAAGCTTAAAAAGGTTTGTGTTAATCTCTCTCTTAGCTAATTAAGAAATAATTGTTTGAAATGTTTTTAACTTTTGCTTTGAATTCTGTGGAACTGTATGTATGTGTACTAGTTTTCATATCATTTGTCATGAAAGTTTTAATTTATAATTAAATTATACCATTCCTTCTTTTAGGAAATACTATGTTTTATACTTTAAGGGGAAAAAATATTTCCTTTTATGATTATAATAGTAAAGGGCTCATGGTAAAACATTAAAAAACAAAAATATAAAAAAATTAAGTCAATTTTAATTCCATTATCCAGAGATAATCTGTTAATATTTTGACAGATATCCTTCTAGAGTTTTTTATATGCATTACTCTACATATAAATAAATTTATAATAGTGGACTATACTATTTTGAATTGCACTGAAACAAAATGTTAAATGTCTTTTTATGTTAGTATACATTTATCATTTCTACTGGCTGCCTGATATCACACTGTGGATGTATCATTATTTATTTAACCAATCTTTCTTGGATGGATAATTATTTTGGATGTTTTTAATTCATACTATTATAAATAACAATAATAACATCCCAATTTACATTTTAAAAGTCAGAGAATACTATTATTAATATAATACAGTCAATATAAAATTTTTCTATCAGGAATATGGCTAAATTTTAGACAACTGCTGCTTTTGTAAGTTTTATTAACTGTACAAATCTTTAAAAAACTAGAGACTCTAGAACCAGAAAGCTAAAACTATCACTATTCAACATTCCTAAACTTAAATGACCTTTTTTAAAAGATGAGGTTGAATTACCTTTTTTTCAAATATTTTTTTTAGTTGTAGATGGACACAATACCTTTATTTATTTTTATGTGGTGCTGAGGATCAAACCCAGTGCCTCACACGTGCAAGGCATGGGCTCTACCAGTGAGCCACAACCCCAGCCCCTTAAATGAACTTTTAAGAGAAAACATGATCTCTTGATGTTTCTTTCATGAAAATTTCAAGTATGTTTAAGAGGAAAAATAGTGGTTAGGAAAGATAGTTAAGAACTGACTCTAGAGCCACACTGATGGGTTTGAATGCCAGCTTCAGCTGTGTGACCTTGGCAAATTAAGGCATGCCTCAGTTTCTGCATCATATAGATAAAATGGGATAAATAACAAATGGGTGAAATAGCCACCTCATAAGATCTTTGTGATGAATCTATCAGGATTTTTGTGATGAATGTATCTTGGAACTATAGTATCCTAGTATTTTCTTTGATTGTGTATTATTTCCCTTTATATAAAGGACACAGGACATACATTTATATGTTTTAAATGAAAGGGAATGAAAACATTCATTATTTCTATCTTTCCTTTGTGGAAAGCCTAAGATAGCCTTCATAAATATTATATGGAATTTATTGGCCAATAATCCAAGTAGCTAAATTCTAATTTGTCCCACTGTTCTCTCCAAGAAAGAAGCTACATCTTAAAGAGATAAGACATTGTTACAATATTTTCTATAATACCATCACCACCCCAGTGATGAATTTATTTTATCCCATTCCTAATAATATTTTAGTACCATACAACAGCTGAGAAATTTTAGAGTGCATTTTAATATGATAAAAATTTATAAATTTTTTATAGCAAAGTGTAAGAATTTTATAAATATTCATAAATATTACTGGAATTGATTTCTAAAAATGCTCAACAACTGCCAGAAAGAAACCAGAATTTAGATATTCAAATGTGTATTAAAAAACTAATCTAAATTCAGGCTAGGGATGTGACTCAGTGGTAGAGTGTCTGCCTAGCACGTGTGAGGACCTGTGTTCAATCCCCAGCACCACAAACTAAATAAAACAAGACAAAACACAAACAAAACAAAACAAAAAAACATTAATCTAAATTCTTATAGCAAGAGCCAGGTTATTTCCTCTGGTTTCATTAAATGCTGTATTGTATTGAATTATCAGATGAAGCACATTCATTTTTCCTGATGAAAATTTACAATCACTTAGGTTGTAAACTCTTATGTAAAATAATCTTAATAGGTTTGTTTGTAAGATCAAGTCAGTATTTTTAGGACTGTCTCTAAGAGTTCCCAGTTAAAGAAAATTAAACAAGATACTTAAGCTAAGTAAGATGACTTATGATGGGAATCTCAGAATTCTATTTTTACTTTTTATTTATTTTTTGGTGGGGCTGGGGATTGAACCCAGGGCCTCATGCATGTTAGGCACACATTCTACCACTAAGCTACATCACTAGCCCAACAATTCTGTTTATAATATATACATGCTTCCGCTAGGTATCACCTTTTTTTTTTTTTGCACTGTAATATCTAAACAAAATTCTTTTAAACGCCTCACATCTAAAATACATTCTTTGTGGCAGATTGTTACTGCTATCTAGGGAAAAAAAGTAAAAAATCAGCACATGGAAAGAGTGATGATTTGTTCATATTTTGGCCATAGGTTTGCTTTAAGAAACAGTGCTCCCTTCAGAATGGAAGAATTTATCTGCCTCCTGTTTGATGGGGTTCAGAGCTAAGATGGCTGAATAAATAAGCATGGGGGACTGGAATCTCCTTGGAGGCATTCTGGAGGAAGTTCATATTCACTCCACCATGATTGGAAAGATCTGGCTCACCATATTATTCATATTTCGAATGCTTGTTCTGGGAGTAGCAGCTGAAGATGTCTGGAATGATGAGCAGTCTGGCTTCATCTGCAATACACAACAACCAGGTTGCAGAAATGTATGCTATGACCAGGCCTTTCCTATTTCCCTCATTAGATACTGGGTTCTGCAGGTGATATTTGTGTCTTCACCATCTCTGGTCTACATGGGCCATGCTTTATACCGACTGAGAGTTCTAGAGAAAGAGAGGGAGAAGATGAAAGCTCAATTAAGGAGAGAACTGGATGGGATAGAGTTTGAAATGCCTGCAAATCAGAGGAGATTAGAGCAAGAGCTCTGTCAGCTGGAACAAAGGAAACTAAATAAAGCTCCGCTCAGAGGAACCTTGCTTTGCACTTACGTGATACACATTTTCACTCGTTCTGTAGTTGAAGTTGGGTTCATGATTGGACAGTACCTTTTATATGGATTTCACTTAGAGCCTCTATTTAAATGCCATGGTCACCCATGTCCAAATATAATCGATTGTTTTGTTTCAAGACCAACAGAAAAGACAATATTTCTATTTTTTATGCAATCCATAGCCACTGTTTCACTTTTCTTAAACATTTTAGAAATTTTCCACCTAGGTTTTAAAAAGATTAAAAGAGGGCTCTTGGGACAATATAAATCGAAGAATGAACACAATGAATTCTGTGCAAAGTCAAAACAAAGTCTAGCCAAATATCAGAGCACATCTGCAAATTCACTGAAACGACTCCCTTCAGCACCTGATTATAATCTGATAGTGGAAAAACAAACACACAGAGTAGCATACCCAAGTTTAAATTCATCTTCTGTATTTCAGGCAGATCCTGACAATCATGACATAAATGATGAGAAAAGCATTTTGGATGAACAGGAAACTAATGAGATGTACACACTTAGTACTACTTGCAGTCACCCTCAACACATCAGCTCAAAAAATAACAAAGACACTCATAAAATATTTAGAAAAGAAGTTAATGGTAACCACTTGCAGGAAAAAAAAGAAGTTGATGGCAAAGAGAGCAAAAAGAACCATTATTCTAGAGATCACTGTTCTATTCCAGGTATTGCTATAGATACAGACAACCACATGGGGCAGTCACCCCACACAACTTTCTCCCTGGCAACAGACTCCTGCACCTGGAAACCTCGGTGGCTCAGTACTACGTGGGGTCCCTCTACAGAAGATGCAAACCAAGGGTCATCTCCTATAGATAACCTCCAGGGCCAGTTCAGAGAGGGCACTATCAGAAACCTTCCTCCTTCACAGAGAGACTTCCAACCACTTGACATTCCAAACACTTCTGATTCTTTGGGAGAGTGGTCCTTTGAGTCAAAGTTTATTAGAACCTGCAACAATTCTACGGATTGTCCTCCAAATCATTTAATGTCCTTGACAAACAACTTCATTGGTAGGAGGGTTCCAACAGACCTTCAGATCTGAACCGTTGTTGCTTTTAGATATTCTGCATATTATGTCATCAGAGTAGTAACAGTGGTGGTGGAACATGGAGAAAATAGATAAGGATATTTCTAAAGACCAGCTGTTGTGATAGACAACTGCAAACTCATTTCAGAAATGAAAAACAGCTCTAATTCTGAACTGTGAAGGGGGAAGTTCTAAATTCAAAGACGTAGGGTAGCCAAATTAGGATGTATTTTTTAGCCTCCCTTAAAAATATGCGATACTGACTTGGGAAAATCACATGCTCTGATTCGATCCTAAATGGTTTGGGATCAGGTTTTTCTCACAGCCTTAGAAAATTGTTCTTGATCTATGTAATTACTCCTTTTAGTTACTAATCCTTTATTTTGGATACTAGGTTAATGTTGTTTGCCCTGGGATTTAATAACTTAGTTTCTTTATAAACTGCAAACTGATGTGTGTTGAATATAACCATAATATTGCTATCTAGTAAATAAAATATTGAAAAAGATGCAAGACTTTCTCTCACCAGTACATAGCATCGTGATTCACATTCTGGATTGGAGTCTTTCCTGGCTCTCCTATTCACTGGTCACGTAACCTAGTCATGTCATTTTACTACCATACTTACCTACAAAGATGTTGTGAGAATTAAAATAAAAAAAAAAAGAAGGAAAGAAAGAAAAAAGAACTATGTTTAAAACGCACTGTACCTCCTGCACAGTAAGCGCTCAAAAGGTTTTATTAGCACATTAGTGCTGATCCTCCAGAGGGCTACTTCAAGTCAGCCACAAAACAAGGAGACTCCAAATGTAAAACTGGAGCCAAAACATACGATTTAAAAATTGGAAATCCAAGAGTCGTCCTGCTTTGGTCGTGCGTACTTTTTCCAGATGAGAGCCAAAAAGTCCAACACACACAGGTCACCACAGCTTCGAAGACCTGGGTTCGAAGGGCGCGCCCACTACAAGTAGGGCGATCTATCCTCCTCCGAGGGTGTTAAGCTCCAGGACCCCGAAGGCCCCGCCCTCGGGCACCACGCCCACTCCGGGCTCCACCTGGACGCTTACAACGAGTTGCCAAACCCTCGCCTCTTCGCTAAGCAACCGAACCGCCCTGGGGACCGGAAGAGGAAGGAAAGGCGCTACTCCGACAGCCAGAGGGGCGGGCGTACGCAGTCTCCCTCAGTTCTGCCGGCGCCTGGGGATGCTGAGCGTCCTGGTCGCCATGAAAACAGGCCACACCCCGGTGATGCCGGCCCGTGGTTCGCAAGTGCGCAAGCGCGCGCGCCCTCCGCGCATGAGCAGTGCTCCTCCAAGCCCGCCAGCCACGGTCTCCGGCGCCAGCTACGCCGCGGCCGCTGTCACTATGGCCCATTACAAAGTGAGGGGGGCGCGGCGTGGCTGGGGGAGTGCGGGCGGTAGCCAGCCGCTGGTCGGCTCCGGGTGGGAGATGGGGGCGCGTGCAGGTTTCGGGGGCCTGAGGCAGCGAGGCGGAGGTGGGGTTGCCAGACTCTAAGCGCCTTCTTCCTGCTCTGGCCCCCGGACTCAGGTCACTGACCTGCGGTGTCTCCTCAGGCCGCCGACTCGAAGCGCGAGCAGTTCCGGAGGTACTTGGAGAAGTCGGGGGTGCTGGACACGCTGACCAAAGGTAAGCATGGCTAGGAGAGGGTTTCACGTGCCCTCGGCACGGTGCCCCTGACGGGCCACGGCGTGGGGAAGGAGGGGGAACAGGTGGGGCCCGTCTAGGGTCCAGAGAAGAGTGCTTGGGAATGAGCGGGACCGGCTCGCTCTGGCTGCCAGACGCTGCTTGGTGGGGTAGCCTAGTTCACGCTATCGCTCTCAGCGCGGGGAGTGAAACTCTTGCAGCTGTTGCAAAGTCTCTCCAACTTCCGTTGCTTTGCCTCGAGCAGCCGCAGTGAATATGTTTATTGAAGACCGTGAGGTCCCAATTCCTTCCGCTTTACCGAGTTTGCAGAGTCCTCAGAATCTTAAGAAATATTTTCCCTCGAACAAAGAGCAACTTGAGAAATTAGCAGATTTGAAAGTGGGCTATAAAGTAGTTGAGTGAGGCTTATCCCGAAGTAAGTGATTCATAGATACTGTGGCTTTTCAATTCCCTATTTCTTAGTCTATAGCAATTCCTATTTTGTGTATAGGACGCTTCATAAATAGTTATATTGTTTACGCTTTTAAAAATGGAAGTTTACTGTTACACTGTTACATCTCTTTCTTCCTGGATTCAAGATCTAAGTAGACAAGGAAGGTGCTTGAAACAGGAGGATTCCAAGAGATAGTGAAGTACTGCTTACTTAATTAGCTCAGCTGTAATCTGAATGCCTGTTATATATTGCTCTATGCATTGACTGGGATTTTCAAAGATGATGGAATCCTGGCAGGGGTGCAGACATGGATCCATAAGAAAATGAGAAATGACTGGATAATAATATCTGCATTTTGTGCAGAAATAAAGGTTAAGGGAAAATTCTGGGAGAACTCCTGGGTCTAGCAGAAAGCAGGCCTTTTCATTCCCATGCATGGATATGTTGGCAATTTTGAATTGCTTCTTGTCTAGGTTCAATTAGTAGTTTCCCTCCATTTTTGCAAATAATAAGGAGATACTCTGAAAATGCTGTGCTATGTTGTCTCCCCAAGTATCATAGATGCTTGGAATTTCATTCCTTAGGAAACCCCATACAGTCCCTTTTTTCATTTAAGCAATTAATAGGTGTCTATTCTAGACAGTGGGGCTAGCAATGGAAAAGAAAGAGTTCTTGCCCTCATGAGCTTGCATCCTGGTTGGGGAGACAGATAATCAAGAAATACAGAGTGTCAGCTAGTGGTAGTGTTATAATTTAAAACTGATACCAATGTTAGAAGATAAAAAGGTGAAGGGTAGGATTTGTGTGCCATTTTACACAAGGTAATGGGGGAAAGGCCTTTCTTATGAAGTAACTTTTGAGCAGAGATCTGAATGAGCTAAGTATGTTGTCAAGAGTTCCAGGAAATACAGGTTGAGCATCTCTAATCAGGATATCTAAAATTCAAAATACTACAAGATTTGAAAAATTTTGAGCACTGACTTGATGCTGCAAGTGGAAAAATCCACTCCTGACTGCATGTGACATGTATATACATACCTTCAGGCTATGTATATGAGGTGTGCATGAAGTATAAATGAATTTTGTGTTTACTCTTGGGTCCTACTCCCCAAATATCTTATTATGTATATGAAAATATTCCAAAATCTGAAAATATCAGGTATTTGGTGCCAAGCATTTTGGATAAAGAATACTGAAACTGTACATGGTGGCTAAAGTGAGTGAAAGACAGATGGTAAAAGGCAAAAAAGTGACAGTTGTAGAAGATGACTGACCAGAGAGAAGATGCACAGCCTTGTGACTATACAAGGATTTTCCTTCATGAGAGAGATCCCTGGAGGCTTCTTATCCCTGTTCACACCCACAGAAATGTAACCCTTCAATCTCCTTAGATAGCCAGTCTTCTAAATAAACATCAGAAAACATAGTATCTATTGACAAGATTTATGTAAAAATGTATTTTCATCTTTAAACAGATATTTCACACACAAACATTTATTTATTTATTTTTGAGGTAATACTGGGGATTGAACCCAGTGCCTTGTGCATGTGAGGCAAGCATTTTACTGACTGGGCTATATACCCAGCCCCTCAAATTTATATTTTTTACCCCATTATTTCCAAGAAGATTTGAAATTGCTTATGACATTAAAACACTATAAGAAAATCATTTAGAAGAGGTGGCATTTTAGATGTTTTGAGCACTATTTTAACCTCCAAAAAATCCTGGTTAAGGGGCTGGGGTTGTGGCTCAGTGGTAGAGCACTTGCCTAGCATGTGTGAGGCGCTGGGTTTGATTCTCAGCACCACATAAAAATAAATGAGTAAAATAAAGGTCCATCAACATCTAAAAAATATATATTTTTTAAAAAATCCTGGTTAAGGCAAAAGGGGAACATGATTTGATATAGACTTGTCTGAATAGAAGGATGTGTATTAATTCATAGGAAAACTCAGGAAACTTAGCATTTACATTATGTTTTGCATTTATCAACCTTGTAAATATCACTGACGGAAATTTAGAAACTGAAAGAAATGGAGTGGGAGAAGAAATGGGGAAGGGTAGGAGCACTGATATTCATGTCTTGTAAAGTTAGGAATTCAATAGAGATCAGTAGAAATGAATGGAAGAAGAATTAGGTTTGAGCATTTAATTTAAAGAAAAAGGTAATAAACAGGAATTAGAGTACTGTAAAAGACAATGAAAGGAGAGAGGAGAAGCTGAGAGGACAGTAGTGTAAATATACCAACTTCCCAAAAAATACAGTGTATTTCAGCGTTGTTAAAAGTAGTTGCACGTTTGAATTTTTCATACTGTTATTTTAAATTAATAAAGCTGTAAAAACTAAAAGGAACACATACAAATTAGTTTAGAACAGGACTTATTAACTTAGAGTTTATATATGTATATTTTTCTTTTTGTATGGAGTTATGTTTTTTGCTTTCATCGAATTTTTCAAAGGGTTCCATGCACAAAACAGTTAACCACTGGTTTAGAGATTTTTTTTTTTTAATCTGAATACAAAATTCCAGGAGGTACTCATTCAATACAAGATGATCAACATAGTCCTAATATGAGTTATTAGATATGAAACTACTGTAGTATATATTTTAATGCTGATTTGAGCAAGTGGTTACTGGCAACGTTTTTGGTTGGTGTTTTTTAGCATATTGTGTATGATACTTCATTCTTGAACATTTTGAAATGAAAGCTTCTTCAAGTAATTACCACAGCCTTACTCTTTCCTAAAGTTTTCTTAAATTTATTTTTTCCCCATAATTCTATCTAGTGCAGGTTACTGCGTTTAATTGGATTACTACATCTACCTCTTAACTGTTGTTCTTTCTGCCATTATCCTTGACCCACTTCAGTCGGTCTTCCACTGAAGTGGATCCTGTAACTAAAGGCCAACAAAACTTACATGACCCTCTGTAGTCTGGCCCCTGACCACCTTTCCAGCCACATTACCCATAACTCCATCCAGCTGTACTTGATATGTCAGTTTTAGGTCTATCCTTCCCTTAGGATGCCTTCTTTGTTTGATGCCCAATTCTTTCAGTGTGCTCCCAAATGTACTATTTAGCATTGCTGCTTGATACTCTTTCTTGTCTAATTCCTTACTTTAGCATTGAACTGTAAATTAGTTGGGAGCAGGGACTTTGTTCACCACTGTATGGACAGTCTTAGCAGTGTGCTTGGCACTTAGATATGGAATATAATTTCTGCCATTCAAATTTAAGACTTTAATTGTTGCTCTTTCTGCTTTTTGATTTGCAGTGTTGGTAGCCTTATATGAAGAACCAGAGAAACCTAATAGTGCTTTGGAGTATCCTTTTCATCTTTGAAGTCAGAAAAAGGCCTTATTATTGAAATTCTTATTTTTTCACATACATAATAACCTTTAAAATACTTTTGCTTATTGAAAAGGTTATTTTCCTTTTTGTTTTTTTTTTAAATATTTATTTTTTAGTTATAGTTGGACACAATATCTTTATTTTATTTACTTGTGTTTATGTGGTGCTGAGGGTTGAACCCAAGGCCTCGCACGTGCTGGGTGAGCACTCTACTGCTGAGCCACAACCCCAGCCTTCCATTCTGTTTTTTGACAATGATATCTTGGTAAATCTTGGTGGGTGGTTGATTATGGCCTTGGATATTGATTCTATTCTGGGTTAGTTCATTAATTCCATTCAGCTTTAAGAAGTAAAGTTCTTAACATTGATATTAGTTTTTTAAAGCATCACTTAGGAGCTGCTACCCCAGAAAATCCAGAAATAGAGTTGCTCCGCTTAGAACTGGCAGAAATGAAAGAAAAATATGAAGCTACTGTAGAAGAAAATAAAAAACTGAAAGCAAAGGTAAATTTTTAAGGAATTCATGTTAAAAATACATTTTCCTCTAGTGATTATATGATCATAACCTCACTAAAATGCACAACTGGGGAAGGAGGAGGGTGAATATCAATGTGAATCAAATGCAAGGCAAACTTATGCCCATCTAGAAAAGTCACCAGACAGACTGTACATAGAATAAGCAAAGTGTGGTCAAGAAGAGGTTCTTGGGAACCTGCATCAACAGAAAGATAGAAACATTGTTTAAGGCTGCTTTTAAGCAAATGGATAATTCTAAAATTCTTAGTTTAGGTCAGTTTAGGGGCATTGCTTGTAAATGGTACTTCCTAGAGTTGTGCAGTGCATAATCTGCACTGTCATTTGGTAGCCCCTGTGTTAACAAATTTACAGAAGTAAATTGCACTTAATTTTATCTAGGCTTATATTATTTTCTTTGTTCCAACTCCCACAAGAACTTGCAAAAACTTCAAATCATCAACTAAGCCTTTGAGATTTTACTGCATTCTGAATCACATAGTACATTTTATGTTACTCTAGGTATTTCTCATAATGTGTTTTATGATCTCAATAACTCTGAGATAAGTAAAACAGGTACTCAGGCCATTTTATAGGTGAGGGAATTTAAAGCACAGTGAAGTTAACAAACTTTTCAAGTATGACACCTAATTGGAAGAGTACAAAACTTAACCAGGTTAAGGAAGCACAACTTAATATATTAAAGAAAATGCAGTATCTTAAATTATCTGAGATTCCATACTAGGCAAGTGCTAGTAAATTCTGGCACCTTTTAAATCAAAGACATTAGTTACTTTTTTTTTTTTTTGTAAGTCAAAGACATAGACTAGCCATATTAATACTCATTACATAACTCTTTCCCCTCTACTTTTTTTTGTTGTTGTTTTGAACCCAGAGGTGCTTTACCATTGAGCCACATCCCTAGCCCTTTTTTTGTTTTTGGACAGGGACTGGCTTAGTTGCTGAGACTAGTCTTGAAATAGAGATCCTCCTGTCTTAGCCTCCCAGATCACTGGGATTACAGGCATGCATGACCACACTGGCTTCCTCTACTTTTTAGGGGAAATTTCAGTAAATTTTTGGTGGAGTGGAAGAAAGTTCCTTATTATAAGGCATAGTATCTTTATGAAGACTTAGATTATTGTATAACAAGTACTTGAACAGTTCAGTCATGAACTGAAATTGTAGTTTCTCAGGAACATTAAATGTTTAAATGAAAAGGGCTTTCATTAGGTTTGATTATATTAAATCTTAAATTACTGTTTTAGAAATCATAGTTTCTATAAACTTATTACTGATTCAGAAGCTAAATTGAATATAATAAACTCATTTTGTTTTATTAACTTTTTACCCAATTTAGAATAAAATTCACCTAAACTCCTCTGTCTTTACCCCATAGCTTGCTCAGTATGAACCACCTCAGGAGGAGAAGCGTGCTGAATAGGATTCTTCTCAGTTGAAAAGACACTGAAAAAATGGTTTTGTATGACTTGAATAGTTTGTATAGTATATAATCTTTTCTGAACAGATGCTATAAAACTCTTTTAATATGTTAAATTCACACTTCAACTGTTATAAACACATATACTTAGAATCACCAATAAAAACTCAATATAACTTGCTTTGGGTCTTAAAGCAGAAGAATCCAAAGTGAATCCTGAAAAAAAAAAATTAGAGCCATCTAATTCATTAAAAGATTTCTATTTATTAGTCTGATTAGGAATAATGGTACTAGTTGTATTTTAGCCAAGGAAGATTAGCATGGAGGTATTCCTTGGTTTAGTTCAGGATATAAGAATAGATAGAATCATTCTCGACAATGAAGATGACAGAGTTTATATTCTCTTTAGGCAACTGGAGAGATCTGTGTGACAAGATGCTTTTGCATGGGTTCCCACGAATCATCTTCTCTTATTTATATAATGCAGAACAAATAACTCTTCTTTGCCACCACTTTGCCTTAGATAACTGTGTGTGTGTCAGTTTAACTCTGACACCACGTTTTCCTTCTATGCAATCATGCCCTATCTGATAATGTTGCCTTGTTTTGCTGTGTGCTTTATTGGGTCCTAGTTGCACATTAGCCTGTCTGTTTTTCAATTTGATTAATAATGCAGTTACCCTGATTGTAATTTATATAATTTTAAACAGGATCACACTATTACCCTGCCTTACTTAGTTGCTTAGTTGAGCACAGAAGTAATATAAAATTCTGGTTCATGCACAAACTGGAATGAGAAGAGGAATGAGCCATATATCATGGGCAATGTTGGGTATAATTATATAGTGGTTTTTCCCTCAAAGTATTTTTCTAATTTTCAGTTCATTTTATCTTCATTATTCCTGTGAAGTAGGTAGGGCAAGTATGAGGGGAGGTTGGGCACTGAATTTTTAGGCCAAAGACTGATATTACAAAACTATTTGCTAACTACAGAACCTTGGGCACATCAGTTAACTGCTCTTAGATTCACTTTCCTTATCTGTTAATTGAGAAGAATGTCTGTGCTGCCTACCTCACAGGGTTGTTGTGAGGGTCAAATGAGAATGTATGTGAAAGATTTGTAAATGGTAAACCACTATATTCTTGTTTGTTAGTCTTTTTCCTTTTCTTTTGGAAGACTTACAGTCTTTTTGTTTTGTTGTATTAATCACTTATTTTCCTCACTGATAGACTGGCATTTTGAAGAAGTGTTCCTATTTCATGTATTCCATCCCTATTGTTAGAGAACCTGTCTTTATTCAAAACACATCCAAAGCAAGCTGGTTTAACTAGCAAAGACACTGACACCTGCTGAAAACTGACCAGGCCAATTATATGGGCATTTAAATCAGTTGTGTTGACAGCAATGTGGCTGATTTGTCTCTTCTAGTCACAAGTTTGTTTTTGGAGAATGCCAGATACTACTGGAAGAATATTTACTTGGACAGATTTCTCTTCTTCTTTTTGGAGTGCCTTCTACGTGGACAGTAGCAGCTAAGGGCTGGGTGTAATAAAAATGAATGACTTGAAGTAGTTTATAAAACAGGTACATAAACAAGCAGTTGATATGGCAGCAGTCCCTTTGTGGATACAGACAAAAACATTTTTTTTTTTTTTTTTCTGGCAGCAAACCCTCTTGTTTTTTTAGTATTACTATTTATGTCAACAAATTAGTGATACTTTCTTGTACCATCCCTTTGGACAGAATGGCAACATATGGGTTGGATAATCACACCTTAAGTGGAAATGACCTGCTTTTAACTGCTGTACCATCCAGTGATGTTTCAGAATTTGGGGTCAGCCTGGCTTCTGGAGAGCCTCTTCAACATTTCTATCAAGGATTTGGATGAAGACTGTGTATATACTCAATGGATTAGAAAATGGATCTCTTCAGTCCTGCTATACTTCAGCTGACTTATCTATAAAATATAGATTTCACATCTTGCCTACCTCACAAGGTTATTGTTAGGATCAAATTAAATATCATGAATGTAACAAGTGCCTTCAAAACTGCAAAAGAATTACATACAGATCAGGAGGTAATAATGCCAAATGTGTGAGTGCCGCAAAATTGGAAGGGCTGGTTGGTAGACAATATTGGAACAAATTTTAAAATGGTTATCTATCTAGAGTACCCAAATGCTGGGCCCAAACCACAAGTTGAATATCAAATCTTAGAAATGTAGTTATACTAGTTTAGGCAATAAGATTGCCAACAAAATAGTTCCAGTGATGGCCAGTGTGAACTACTTATATTCTGTAGATACTTAAAAAAAAAAAAATCCATTCTGGAAAGGATTAGGGGAAAGAATACTGTGTGGGTCAGTACTGCTCTGTAAGTGCCAGACATTGGAAACTTGAATGCATATAAAGGAAGAACAGCCAATAGGGAAAGGGGATTTGAAAATATAAGGCTGTGCTGTTCAATATGGTTGCTATTAGCTGCATGTGGCAGTTAAAATTAAATAAAAATAATTCAGTTCCTTAGTCACACTGGCAATGGGTCTAGTGCTCAATCCACATGTGGCCAGTGGCTACCATATTGAACAGCAGAAATTCAGAACATTTCTATCATTACAGAAAGTTCTATGGAACAGTTCCATAGAAGGAATAGTTGAGAGAACTTAAGATGTTTAGTGTGGAACAGAGAAGACTGTCTTGGTGGGTTAATGAAGACTGCAGTTTAATATTTGAAGGGCCGTTATGAAAACATATTGTGTTCCATTTTAGGCTTCAGAGTATGATTATTGACTTGAATAAGAAAGTTTTAAGCAAAACTCTACCCCAATGGAATAGCTGCCTTTTGAGAAAGTGAGCTCTCCTCCTTTGGAATATAGTCCTAGATGTGCATGAAGTGTACTCTGCCTTCATAATCTGCCTTGGAAAACCACCCCAACCTTTTAAAAACGTGTATGGCTGTACTTTGTTGTCAAATTTCCTTCTAGAGACTGAAAAGCAACAATTATTGTATTTTTTCTCAAACATTCTTGGTAACCAACATTTGCTTTAGTGTGCTTCCGTTATTCTTTCCCTGGGTCTCTAATCCGAAAAGATCAGAGAAGCAGCGTTCTACGGTGGTGGTGGTGGTGGAATTACTGGAGAAGTAAAGTTTTGACTATGTGGGAAGGACAGGAAATTGAGTCCTGCTGAGTTTGAAGTGGTAGCAGCTTTCACTACCAGCTATTTGCTGAAGAAAGAAAGTCTACCTTGGTTGCATTTGCTTTCCTATCACGGTCCTACTACTTGCTAAATGAAGCTATCACACCCACCCATGACTGCCTTGGTTGAGGCTTTGCCTTGCAGCTGGCTCATCCTTCACACTTCTGCTCACCCCAACTGCATCCATCCGTCTAGACCTACTCAGACGCCAATTCTCCCGCATTTCATCTGTGCCTAAGGCATTCCCACACAATATCTCGTGCCGAGGCTACTTACACAGAGGTCCGATCTCTTAAATCTTCAAGCAGTTGTGAGGGCAGGCAGGTCCAAGTCGGTTCCAGTTTCAAGCCCCTTGTTAGATACTCAGGACGTCACAGGCATCAATAAGTATCGGTTCCGCGAGTACAATTGGAGGAGGAGGACAATCGGTTCTTCCCCTAAAGCAGAGCATCTCCCCTTGTGGTGCTCTGGAGAGCTCGGAAGAAGGTAGAGAAACTGAGGAGCACTGTGCGTGCAGGGCAGGACCAAGGTGCGTGCGGGCTGGGCCCCGGGCAGAGAGACAGAGCCCGGCGAGAGGCGCGGCCGGGCCGCCCTCCTCGTGACTCCTCCTCCCCCCTCTGCTGCTGGGAGTCAGGTGATTCTGGGCACGTGACGGGCACCACCTACCCTGCTGCTTCCGAGTGGCGGCTCGGGCAGCCAATGAGGGGTTGGACCCCAGCTCGGGGCCTATGAGAGTCGGGCTGTGCGGAGGGGCGGGCCGGACGGCGGCGGCTGCCGGGGGCGGGGGCGGTGGCAGCGGCGGCGGCGGCGGCGGCCTGGGGAGGCGGCGGCCTGGCCTGGCCTGTCAGGGCGCGGGCGGCGGCGGTCCAGCACCATGTCCCTGCAGTACGGGGCGGAGGAGACGCCCCTCGCCGGTAGTTACGGCGCGGCGGATTCGTTCCCAAAGGACTTCGGCTACGGCGTGGAGGAGGAAGAAGAGGAGGCGGCGGCGGCGGGCGGCGGGGTTGGGGCGGGGGCCGGCGGCGGCTGTGGCCCGGGGGGCGCTGACAGCTCCAAGCCGAGGATTCTGCTCATGGGGCTGCGGCGCAGCGGCAAGTCCTCCATCCAGAAGGTGAGTGGAGCCGTGCCGGGTCCTCCCGCCCTCCCTCCGCTCCCCTCCAGGAGCTCAGGTGGCCGCAGGCGTGGAGGCCCGGAGGAGGGCGGCGGCTGCGCTGGCCTAGCGCTGGGTCCCAGCGCACTTTCTCTTGCACTTCTGCGAGCGAGCGCGGAGCCAGAGGCGCGGCGGGACCCCCACCTCTGCGTCCACACCCAAGTCAGCTGAGGCCGAGTGGGTCGCCGAAGGCGAAACTGACTGGAGAGAGGCAGGTGCGCGGTGGCACCGCCCTAGACCTCCGCCACTGGGACACAGCCCCTGTGGCATTGACGGGGAGAGACGTATTCTCCAGATCTCACTTGGAGAGCTTGTTGGATTCCCTCGCCTGCCTCATCTCTCTTCAGGTGATCCGAGTTTGCAGGGATTCCCAGCGGAGCCCTAAGGAGCAGCGTCAAAAAGAGTTGTGACTAAGGCACTGGACATTTAAATACTTTGTTACTAGCCTGCAGGAGTCTTGGCTGTAACAGTTTTGGGAATTGGGTACTACCACTGTACCTACTTTAGTACTTGTGACCTGGTGAGTGTAGTTACTCGTGGTATTCTCCCTGTAGGTGTGTACTTAGAAAAATCTTTGGAAACTTTGAAAATGTTTTACAGATATCAGTCCATTTGTTTTCACATTAGATTTGTCGAGAACGAATGGAGGACTGGATACTGTTTGGTAAAGGGGAAAATAGAGGCAGAGTTGACATTTTCCATCCTCATTACACACAAAACGAACTTATAAACTAATGTCGCACACACCTAGTCTTTCCCTCTTTCCGCTTGTTGCAGAGGTCTGTCCAAAACAAATGTCTTTGTGGTATTTCGTAGATGTGATGTTTTTAAAATGTAGTCTTCTGAATTAACTTTATTACTGTGTTTTATTTACTTTGCTGCTTACCTCTACAGCGACTTGGGTGTACTTACTGTAGGTTTTTAGCAAACTGATTTTAGCTCTTCTCATTTGTTACAAAACCTTGGAAGTAAACTGTTTTTTCTCTTCTAGGCTGTAACAGTGAGGCAAATTAGTTTTATATTAGGATTGTATGGATCGTGAATACTGTGATTCTTGACAATTGCATTTACCTTTTCATTTCTCGTGGGAGCTACCTATCACCTGTCAGCTCTGGCAGCCCCCCCCCCCCCTTGGGTATAATTACTCCCTTTGTTGTATTTCTTCCACAAGACTGCAAACTCAGTGAGGGCAGGATCTGGTATGTTTCATGTTTTTTATTCCTCAGAGCCTGTGGTAGGCATTGGAGTAATTTTTGAATGAATGAAACTTCTTAAATTTTAGCTACAAAACTTTTGTAATTTTAAAGGAGATTGTGGTGAGTATAGATCCCTACAAAAGCAAGCAAACAAAACCAAAAAACAGTCCCCCCAAAAAAACAAAACAACAACAATGTAGGCACCACAGAGTGCTACTTCTAGTGCTGAGTATGGTGCAGAGGAAATAGAAAAAAAAAAGTTTCAGCTTCAAAATAGATTGAATGGAAATTGGTTTGGTGTTTTCTTTAGTCATAATTAAAAAGGTAATGAGCACCAATGCATTTATTAACGTTTAGTTTTTACCTTAAGTTTTTTTTGCTACAAGATCAAATTTTTTAATATTAATCCAGGATGGAGTTTTAAATTTAAATTCTGAAGTTGAACAGCCATAAAATTGTCTTGTTTTTCCTAACAGGTGGTGTTCCATAAGATGTCACCCAATGAGACCCTCTTTTTGGAAAGTACCAACAAGATTTATAAAGACGACATTTCCAATAGCTCCTTTGTGAATTTCCAGATTTGGGATTTTCCTGGGCAGATGGACTTTTTTGACCCAACCTTTGACTACGAGATGATCTTCAGGGGAACAGGAGCATTGATATATGTCATTGATGCACAGGTAGTTAGAAATAATGATGTTTACTTCTCTTCCCTGGTGGCAAAAAGATGTAGAAACAACAGAAAGTTGTTTATCTTCTTTGTCATTTGTGTACAGCTCTTTTCTTTGCTAGTAGATTCCATGACACTGTGATATGCAATTGCAGAGGTGCTTTGGGAACAGGCACGTCATTGCAGTTTGAAAGAATCAGTTGGTTAGGAGATGTAGTTTACATTGTGAGACCTAGTTAATGAGCAGTTAACATTGGCTTTCTGGTAAATTTTGTTACACATTATAATTAGCTACTATAATAGTGCTATAACTCATCAAAAATATCCTGTCAGTGCCCATAGTATAAGATGGACTGTGAGAACTGAGTCAGTATATATTAGAGTGATTAGTTTTCTTAATTGTGCAAATTGAATTTAGTCCAACAAGCATTTATTGAAGACCTAACCTGTGGCAGGCAGTCAGATGAAAGGTACATGTCCCTATTCTTAGGAAGCTAGCTTTCTATAAGCTTAAATATTAGTTAGGAATGAGTTCTGAGTGATGGACCCTATAATGGATGCTTTCACATGCATGATCTTATTTAATCATCACAACATTGTGAGGTTGGTATTGTAATTCCAGTGTTACAGATGAATAAACTGAAATCACAGAGTTGAAGCAACTTGCTTTAAGTCACACACCTAATAAATGGCAGAGCTGGGATTACTTTAAAAAACGTTGGGAAGAATTGTCCATGTCCCTTTTCCTTTATACTATCAGTATTAAAAATTACAGGCATTAATTTGGGAATTGAATTTTTTATCTTAAGTTGAAGAACTACTTATTAGTATGTTTGAGTGCTTGAATATTTATGAATAATTTAGGATAATATATTTTCTGTGGTTGGGGAAAGAGGTGGTTTGAGGCTTTCTTAACTCATTACTTGCCTTTTGTAAGATTCTTTTTAAAAAATATTTTGTTCTGACTTACAGGATGACTACATGGAGGCTTTAACAAGACTTCACATTACTGTTTCTAAAGCCTACAAAGTTAACCCAGACATGAATTTTGAGGTTTTTATTCACAAAGTTGATGGTCTGTCTGATGATCACAAAATAGAAACACAGAGGGACATTCATCAGAGGGCCAATGATGACCTTGCAGATGCTGGGCTAGAAAAACTCCATCTTAGGTAACAATATGTGTGTTTGATATGAGAGCCCTGAAAAAACAACATGTGTGTTTGATATGAGAGCCCTGTAGATGTATTCCCATCTCTGTCATTACAGGCACCATAGTTTTCTGTTACTGGTATGCCCATTCCCAGTTCTGAAATGTTTTTGGTCTTCTCTTTGTTGAATTCCAAGCTATCCTGGGAGCCTGGTGTTATTAAGGAGTTACTTTTTACATTTTCCTGGTAATTGAATCCATGTGAAATGTTTCCATTGGTGCTTTTGCAGATTCATCTCAAGAGGCTCTGTTTAGGGATTTCCCCACTCTTGGTTTTTCTCAAACTCTGGCCACCCCCAGCCCCCCTCCAGTTGCCCCAGGCAGGGAATCTCTTGTCATATTTGTTGTGGAAGTCTAGCTTGAGTTTCCATAGTATCTTTCTTAGTAGGAAGAGTCTTTTATAAATGGGGTATGCTTTAAAGTCTGGACTGATTCTAATGTATCTTAGATTTTAAAACACTTCATACTTATATGAAACTCTAAAGTTTGGGTTAAGTGGATTTATTCTATAAGTTTGCATACTATTGCTATTAAATAGTTTAAAGGACTGCTGATTTATAATTAAACTACTGTTAGAGAACACCAACTATTTAGGTCTGATGACTTTGTGTTTGCTTTCTAGAAGTATATAAGGAATATTTTTGTACATTTTATTTTTTTGTGATATAGGTAGAAATGAGCATTTAAAAATACCAAGAAAATGTTCTTTTAATGATAGAAACAGCTTAAAGGGAGAGCAGAGGAGAGACACAAGTGTAGTAATTTCCTTATCCCAGATCTGTTATGGTGACTTCCCTATAGGCTCAAGGCATCCCTCCTACTACTCGTAATATTTTCTGGGCCCCAGGGTCCAAAATGTTTCAGTTACCCCTAGGAAACCACGTAGAAAAGTCTCACTGACTTCTGTTTTGCCTGGATTAAAATTTTAAAATATTTTATAGGCAGTTCATACTTAAAAAAATTAAATTCAGCGGTGTTTGTAAGAGAAACTAAAACTGTCTTCATGTAAAAATCCCTCAACCTTATATTTTAGGAATCCACTATTAATATTTTTTATTTGAATTTTAAGTCATGCTTATCCTGTCTAAGGTATTCATGGGGATCTTTCTGATTGCCTTTACTCCATGTGTCTGTCCCTTTTAATGGCAATGCACCCCTTGGTAACACTACCCCTTACCCTGGGCCTAGGAGGGCCCTAGGCCTTGTTAACCTAAGTAGAATTTTGCAGCAGATTTTTACTATTTATCTGTTTATTTTTGTGGCACTGGGGATTGGAACAGGATCTCTTTCATGATAGGCAAACATTCTACTACTGAGCTATATCCTAAGGCCCCATCAGGCTATTTAGTACTAGCAGATCTATGGATGAAGCTCTATTTGATTTCCAGTTTCTAGATGCTCAGCTTAACTAAAATGATGTATATTTTGCAGATTCTTCTGTCCCCATCCACCTCAAAGAGGGCCCTCTTATTTGCTAACCTTTTTTACTGAGAGGAATCACTGAAATATTTCTTTCTCCCTAATATCTCTGAGGTCATTTGACTTTGTGTGCTCTGGTGCTCCAGTGCTCTCATATCTAGAGTCTAGTCCCTTACATAGGATTAGGTTCTTACATCAGCTTCTTGAAAGTTTTTAAATTATTTATAAAGTGGTGAACTATTATTAAAGCTATATAATTCTCCATATTTCATATTCCTTTTTTGTTAAATATATTTGTGTTTTCAGAGTCTCAAAAAGAGGTTTGAATTAGCCTAAAGACTACTGACACACTTAACATAGGTCAAAGTAAAGTATAAGAGCATAAAATATGGCTTGAGGTGTTATTTTCTGAATTCTTCTTACTCTTTTTGTCTAAAATGACTCTGTACTATGTACATATAAATATATTGTGGATACAATTATATAATGAAGGGTATACTTCTGTGTGAAAAAGCAGGTGGAATCACCCAGTGTTTAAATTGTTAAAGGCCTTTCAGTTACATGTTTTGCTAAATCTGTGTATGTTACTTCTTTATACCCTTTTAGGCCTCTGGACCCCCGTTCTGTTCTCTACATGGCCCCAGCTTCCATCCTCCTTACTATGCTGTTTACCTAAATTCTAAGCACCAATTGTATTTGTTGAGGCAATGGGCTTGTAGCTATGAGTAAGATTGTCTCTTTTCTCGTGGAGCTTATGTTCTGACAAATGACACAGCTCAAAAACACCTATAAATAAATAATGTGGTATAATTTTAAGTACTTACCAATGCTATGAGGAAAAATTATGGCAAAGGGATAGAAAGCATCAGGTATAGGAATATTGTTTTAGGTAGGCTGGTCAAGACAGAACTTTTATTTGTTGTTAGAAACTTGATTATTATTTAATAAACGAGACACATCGCTTCTAGTTTTTTCTTGGGTTTGAATCTTGGATTTTGTTATAGTTATGTGCTTAGGAGACCAAGATTTACGGATCAGGTTGCAAAGACTTAGGGAAACATTCAAGTTTCTCCATCTGAACACTCTTTCCTGGTTGCTCCTGCAGTTGCTCTCTATAAATGGTGTAAAGGGAGTGATAGCCTCAGACCAGGTGGGAGACTGTGTTTGTCATATGAAATGATGGGGATGGTAGACAAGTTTATTTGAACTTATTGAAATCAAATGCTTAGAAACTTAAAATTTTATATACTATGATAGTTGTCACTAAATTTTTAGGTATTTTCTACTTTAATCATAACCATATTATGTTTTTCAGCTTTTATTTGACTAGTATCTATGACCACTCAATATTTGAAGCCTTTAGTAAGGTGGTGCAGAAACTCATTCCACAACTGCCAACCTTGGAAAACCTATTAAATATCTTTATATCAGTAAGTGAGCTCTTTAATTCTCCATAGTTTCTGATTCCATTTTTGTTAAATGTATTTGTTTTCACATTCTCTAAAAATTGGAACTAGAATTAGCTAAAAGACTACTGACACACTTAACATATAAAATAAGAGCAGTAAATATGGGTTGAAGTGTTATTTTCTGGAATTCTTAGTTTCCTCCCCATTTTGTCTTTAAGGTGAACTACTAAAAAACTTCTAAATGCTTTTTTTTTGGTGGTACTCGGGACTGAACTTAGGGTTACTCTACCCCTGAGCCATCTCCCCACCCCTTTTTATTTTTTGAGACAAGACCTCACTAAGTTGCTGAGGCTGGCCTTGAACTTGCAATCTTCCTGACTCGGCTGCCAAGTTGCTGGGATTATAGGCAAGCACACTGTGCCTGGCTTTTTATACTTCCTTTAAAAATATCTTTGGATGCTTGTTTCCTAAAGAAAGAGTAGTAACTAGAAAAGACTGGGTGTTGGAACTGTGACTCAATATCATTTTATTCTCTGCCTCCTTAGAAGTCACATTAAGAAATTGATCATTTCCTCACCCACGGTAGTCTATTTTTTTTGTAGGAAGGGTTACCCAGAATTGAACCCAGGGGCACTTAACCACTGAGCCACACACATCCTCAGTTCTTTAGAGACAGGGTCTTGTTGAGTTGCTTAGCATCTCCCTTTTTGCTGAGGCTGATTTTGAACTCTTGATCTTCCTGCCTCAGCTAGGATTACAGGCATGGGCCACTGTGCCCAGCCACCAACTGTAATCTTAGCTTTATATTTTGTATTCTTATTCTGAGGTGTCATCTTAAGAAAAAAAGGATTGCTCCCTCACCCCAATAAATTTAACATATAGCTGTTATATTTTCCAAACATTACTTTGAAAGGATTCAGTGTGTGGTGGTCTCTTGGGCTTTTGGGTTATGCCAGATGTTGACATCAAACTGTAATTATTTTGTGTTTTACTGTTTGCCCACATAAGGACTTTCTGGTAGCAAGATCACTCAAATTGGAGATGGATTATAATTACTAGAAAGGTTTATAGACAATGTAGCATAGCTTGATTTTTAGAGAAATTTTTTGTTAAATTTTTTAGTGATCTCTTAGAAAAGTCATTTAAATAAAGAGGAATAAAAAAATTTGACAATCATGTCAGTAAATCAAAGTAGAGATATAATTCAACTTTTATTCCTTGATAATAGGAGTGTTTCTCAAACAGGTACTATTTGTGTTTTGGTATTGAGTTGTACAATTAGAAATGACCTTGTATGTTATTTAATAATTTAAAGTCTTTGATTAGTTGCAAAATATGATTCTTAAAAGAAACTGAACACTTCCCCAATTTTGTTTTTTCAAGAATTCAGGTATTGAAAAAGCTTTTCTCTTTGATGTTGTCAGCAAAATCTACATTGCAACAGACAGTTCCCCCGTGGATATGCAGTCTTATGAACTTTGCTGTGACATGATTGATGTTGTAATTGATGTGTCTTGTATATATGGGTAAGTTTTATACATAATTCTGCAAGACTTCAGACAGGTGGGAAACTAACAGCTCTACTTGTTGAGGGAATTCTGAGGCCTCTGGCAAGTACTGTGTGAAACAGGATTGTTTTGATGGTAGTGCTTCAACTTGGAGCAAGACTTCTCTTAAAGAGGGCTGCTGGCTTTTACTCCTTCAGAGGGCATGGAAAAGAGCAGTTGGAAAATGTGATGAGTGCTGATTTATTTATCTCTGAAAGTTTCTTCTGCCATTACTTGAGGAATTTGCACTGTGTCTTCTCACTACTTGGACTTAGCTAGATCAAAAACCTTTAATTTATTTAAATTTCTGAATGATAAAGTGCTGGTCCTAATTTAACCTCAGGCTTTATGAAATGATGGATTCTAAATCTTTCAGAGAGCAAAGAAATAAAGTAATCAGAATCTTAGATGTAGAAGGACTTATGCATATAAAAATTTAGCGTATACATCTGAGTTTCCAAAACAAATCTCTAAAATGTGAGCTTTTCCCATATGTAAATTCAAAAAATTATGTAGAAATTTATGAAAGATAGCAAATAGTGATTTTGTAGAATAGGTACCAAGAAGAATGAAAATTTGGGGGAATTATTGGTGTTTCAAAAGCCAGTAACATTCTGTGTATCCTCTGATAGTCCTGATTCCTTTTTATTAACATCTTAATTCCCAAGAAGCTTTCATTTGCTCTTTACCTTCTAATACCTGTATATTCTGTTTCTCTTCTCTGCTTCACCTCTGACCACATCCTTCATCTTGGTCTGTCTGATTTGTCAGTGTTTTTCTCCAGCTGCCTCTGGACAGGAGAGTGCATTTGTCTCCCCCCACCCCACCCCCCAGTGTTGGGATTAGAACTCAATTCCTTGTGTAAACTACATACACCTCCAAACCTGTCTTATCCATTCATGACCTGTCTATTTCCATTTCTTATTCCTTTTTCACTTTTTTTGATTACATGTTCTCCCTTGTTTTATTTCTGTAGTGAAAATGAGACTCGTTATCTCTTGTATTTCTCAATAAAGTATTATGTTCCTCACTTCTCATTTTTTGTGTGAGTATGTGGTGCTGGGGATTGAACCCAGGGCCTTGTGCATCAAGGCAAGCACTCTAGCAGCGGAGCTATATCCCCAGCACCCCCACTCCTAATTTTAAAAATGGATAAGTAGAATGTTTGCTTTTTCTTTAAGACAAATCAGAATTTCATAAACTAATCATTTTGCAATTTAAAAGTCACATTTAGATTTAAAATTTATTTTATAAAGTACATAATGAAGTACAGACATTATAATGTACCTGTAAAAATAAGTTCATTATAAGAAAATAAGTTCATTATCTCACTATTCGCAACATAATCTATGCATGCAATTTGATGTGCTTAATTATAGTTAATTTGTTTTTTACTTGACTCTTGATTTACATTTTTTGAATGGGGACTACTTATAATTCTGGCAATGCTGGTTTAATAAATGAAGTAGTTTTTAGCCCCTTTAAGTCTCACTTTGCAAGTATCAGCATGCCACAGTATATTTAGTAGACTATATTTCTTTTAGTTTTTATATTTAATCACTTTCTACTAATAGCAGTTTTCGTATCTTAGATCCTTTTTTTATAGACTATGTCAGTGCATATTTATATGAGGGAAGATTTAAAGCCTGCAGTATTCCATGCATCCTGTGTGACAAGGGGAAGGTGTCTGAATGCATGGAATACTGCTGGTCACAGAAGGGGAAAGAGTGTATTGTGGACACTTGGTATGCATTTTATCGCACGTATCTTCTACAAGCTTTTCACTTCATGGTTTGAGTACTAACCAGGTTCCTTTTCCCTCCCCTCTCATTTGCAGCCCTTAGGGTGTGCTGCTTCTAAGTCTTGTTCCTCATGGCTATGACCTTTCAGCTTCTGCTTTGGTAATTTCTGACTTAAGCTTCAGATAATCATATTTGCCTAAAGGTCATAAAAACTATCAAAATAGGAAAACATAGAAACTAAATATTGTGCTTTAAACACACTGTTTGAGCAAGCTTTGTCTAAGGCCATTAGCATATTTTTCTTAATTTTATTAATTACCAAAATAAAATCTGACTAATCCCTGGACTTTGAGTAGAATATGCCTCTTTTTTTTTTTTTTGAAGTGCTGGGGATTGAACTTGGGGCCTCCATGTGCTAGGCAAGTGCTCTATTACTGAGCTACATCCCAAGTCCAGAATGTGCCTTTCTTCTTTCATCATAGTATGAAATTCAAGATCATATGCTCGCCTGACATGAGAAACTTTGAAGCTTCTTTCAGCTGCTGACTGTGGGTACATAGGGTTTAAGGAGTCATTGTCAGGGTTGTCTGTGTCAGAGCCTGTTGTCAGAGTTAGCTCCTGCTCTCATTTTCCATGCAGCACAGAGAAGGATCTACTCAGGTCTAACTATAAGCTGAGAACACATAGCTTTTATGACTTCCTCTTTTCCATCAGAAGGAAGTAGATTTCTTTTATGTTCTTGCAGCAAATGACACTTAACTTCCTCATTGGTCTACCTTCCCAAATCAACTTTATTTTTACTAGCTAGGAAAGATACTGGAAACGGCATGGAATTGAGTTAAATACTTTTAAGTTTGAATCCTGACATTGCTAAGAGGTCACTTTACTTTTAATGAACTTGAGTTTTTACATCTTTAAAATGGGTATAGTTTTCTTACTTATTGAGCTTATTTTGACTTGTTTCAGAAAGGACTAGAAGTGGTTAGATATAGATATATTAATTCTTGTTCTCTGGGTGTTATGAGGATCAAATTAACATATAAGAAGGTAAGTTGTAAGGTTCAGAAGAGTTTAAAAAAGAAGCCCTCACTCATGAAAAACATACATAGAAAATACATGTAGCCCCAGTTCTTGGAAGGCTGAGGCAGGAGGATCACTAAGAACCACAAGTTTGAAATGAGCATGGGTAACATAATGAGACCCTCATCTCCAAAACAGGTGAAAGAGAAAAATCAGTGTTCTATCAATGAAAACTATTAATAGTTTCTTTTAAATATATTTCCTTCAATTTCTTTCTTTCTTTTTTTTTTTGAGGAAAAGTACTTGTTTTAAAAAGGCAATTTTGAAAACTCTTTAATTCCTAGCAATTTCTAGAAATTAATTCCTAGCAATTGCTAGATTTTCGCTAAACAAGTACATCAGAGAATATGTCAGAGCCCATCTCCAAAAATGGTTGATTTCAACATAATTCCTCCTGGACGTTAGCTGGGGCTGTTCTTATTTTCTTGCTTTTGTCAGAAGGGGGGTGGGGGGTGGGGGGTGGGGGGGGGAAAGGCTTACTAAGAAAAGGTGTGATTGGCCTGGCACTTAAAGGTGCCTTGAAGAAACTTGCTGAGGTGGTGGTAGGTCCCAGAGGAGCCCTGTGGCTTGAGGGAAGTAAGGAGAGGAGACCTCTTAGCTGTGCCCACAACATACAACCTGAGCAAGTAAGTAACTCCTAGAGCACAGAGGTGGAATGTTGTAATTTCCCTGGTTAACATCTACCTGTATCTTCACTTTTTCATCCAAATGCCTGATTATTTGTAATAGTATGGCTAGGTATGGAGCTTTTTATTGCTGCTGAGAATCCCTGAGGCTCTGTGTTTGGGAGCTCTATACCTAAATGTGAGCTCTGTTTCAATATAGTTAAGCCACTGTTATTCCTCATCAAAACGTTTAGGAACCCGGATGGATTGACTTGTCATTGTACAAATCAATTGTGATAAAATAAGCCGGAAAACCTGTAATGAGTAGTACTTTCTTTTAAAATAGGTTAAAGGAAGATGGAAGTGGAAGTGCTTATGACAAAGAATCTATGGCAATTATCAAGCTGAATAATACAACTGTCCTTTATTTAAAGGAGGTGACTAAATTTTTGGCACTGGTCTGCATTCTTAGGGAAGAGAGCTTTGAACGAAAAGGTAATGATATTTTAAAAAACTGTTTTTATGTTACATTGTCATATTTCTCAGGTTTTTGAAAATATATTGTGTTAGAAAAATGGTTATCTTAAAAATATGTGTGTGTCTATACATATATGTGTATATATATGTGTGTGTGTATGTGTGTATGTATACATAAAATCAGCTCAAACTATTTTTATTGCTTCCCTTCTATACATTACTCATACTCACCTTCCTTCTTTTGATCTTATAAGTCAGTTTTTATTTTTAAATAGTTGGACACAATACCTTTATTTCACTTATTTATTTTTATATGGTGCTAAGGATCGAACCCAGGGTCCTGCGTGTGCGAGCTCTACCACTGAGCCACAACCCCAGCCCACAAGTCAGGTTTTTTTATCCAGCCTCTGTTACTACGGATACTTCATTAACTGCCCACAGTTTGCTTCCATCGGAACAGTCTACTAAAACTATTTCAGGTTACCTTCTTGCTGCATTCAGTGGCATTTTCTCATTCTACAGTCTCTTCAGCCTTCTGAAGATGTGATCCTGTCAGTCCCTCTTTTGGAACTTTCTTCTCCCTAATAAGTCTAATGTTTCAAGTCATATTGTGTGTGTGTGTGTGTGTGTGTGTATTCTCTGACTGCCTTTCCTGTTTCCTCTGCCTACTTTTTGCAATCCTGTGTTCTTCAAAATTTTCTGCTTGCTTCTTTACTCATTCTCCAGGTGAACTCATCCAGTTTATGGCTTTGGTTGATCTTCTGTATGTGACTGATTCAGTTTTACATCTCCAGCTCTTCCTTGAGCTCATGTTCCAGTCCTATGTTTGGAATTATTAGTAAGATATCTTCAGTTGAACATTTGACTGGTTTCTTGGCCATTGAGTTAATCATGGCTGATGATTATTTTTCCCTGTGTTTCATGATTCTTTTGGCTGCCCTCTTTCTGTCACTAGTTAAGCCATTTTTCTTAAGCCAGCCTTAGATATATTGTGGTCAGATCAAGTGTTGTTTTGCTGAAGAGGCCCTTGCAGCTTGGTTCACAGAGGGAATTTCAACATTTTTTATGTTGTTTGCACGACTTTTCACCAGATCTTATCACTTGTTTCTTGGAACTCCTTTCCATTTCTTCTGTCATTGACTCCAGTTCAGGTCCTTAACCCTCCAGGCCTGTAGTGCTACAGTGACCTTCTACTGGATAATATACATTTGACATATATTGTGAAGATCTCATGTATATCACATTTTATCCAAAGGTAGACTAGTTTTCAGAATTTTTTTTTTTTTTTTTTTTTTTTGATGCTGGGAATCAAACCCAGGACCTCATGCACTAAGCTGCTAAGCAGGTGTCCTATCACTGAGCTGTACCCCCAGCCAGAAAATGTTTTGTCATGTTCACTACTCAAGGATCTATAATAGCACTGTATCATTTTCTGCAACAAGTCCCAATCTTTTTCCTGACCTCTTAAAAGAAATATTTCAGATATACATTAATTTTTTGATAAAGCCAAAATGAGTATAATATTCACTTTTGAGCTTAAGAACAGAAATGTAACACACAGTTGAAGTCTTTTGTATTTCTTTCAGTTGAGGTCTCTTTGTGCTATGTGTATTTTATTTTTCCTATACGTGATTTAGTCTTTTATGTAATACTGATCCCAAAACAATATATTGTGTGTGTTTGTGTGAATGACTTCTTCCTAGATATAGGTTGTTTTCTGAAACTTGCCTGTTTCTTCACATTCAGTATTGTTTTTTGACATTTATCCAGATATTGATAACACACAGCTCTAGTTCATTTTCATTGCCGTGTAGCATTCTATAGGTTAAATAGACTTCAAATTTTCTTGTTGGACACTTAGATTATTTAAAAAATTATGAATAGTTCATGACAAATGCTCATGAACAGGTTTGTCTTTTTATACATGTGGAGAATTTCTCTAGAGTATGTATTTAGGAATGGTATTTGAGAAAAAAATCCATTTTTAACATTCTAGACATTACCAAATTGCTCTCCAGGTGACTTTGACATTTTTACTACTGGCAGTACCATATGGGAGTTCCCATCACTTCTTATCCTTGATAATATTTGATATTGTCAGACTGTTACAATCATTTTCACTCTGGTAGATATGAAATGCTATCTCATTTAGTTCTCACCTTATTACTGATAGGGCAGGTGTCTTCTCATGGCTGTTCAGGTTTCTTTGGTAATTTTCTAGTTCATATACTTTAATTTTTATTATTTTTTGTTGTGCTGAGGATTGAACCCAGGGCCTTGTAATTGTAGCTTGGCAAGCACTCCACTACTAACTATATTCCCTGCCCCTTCTTTATTATTTTTAATACTGATTCTTAGTCTTTATTTTTTCCCATTCTACTCTTAAAAAAAATTTTTTTTAACTTGTGGAAAATTTTAAGTGTGTGCAAAAGTACACTAGCCAACAAATCTTCTCTTGGCTGCCTGCTTCAGCATTCATTCAGATGTATTCAATCCAGTTTCCTCTGTATGTTCCCCTCCCCCATTTGATTATTATTGTTTTTTTCACTCTTTTTTGGTGAAAACTGTTAAACAGATACAGGATTAAAGAAAAATAGTAAAATAAGCCTCTTTTTTTTTCTGAAAATGGGTTTGATACATTTATTTTTTTATTTTTATTTTTAAAATTCTGCATAATTTTTTTCCATTTTAATTTTTTAGTTTGTTTTAATTATACATGACAGTAGAATGCATTTATGCACTCTGATATATCATACATAGATGGGATATTGAGTGTACGTGTATGATATATCATACATAGATGGGATATTGAGTGTATGTAGAATCATATTGGTCATGCAGTCACGTGTGTGTGTGTGTGTGTGTATATATATATATATATATATATATATATATATAAAGTAATAATAAACCTCTTAAAAAAAATCTATCGCCAACATTCATCAATTATAAAAATCATAGCTTGTCTGGTTTCATATGTGTTTCTTTTTTGACTCTTGATTATTTTGAAGCAAATCTCCTATATTAAATCATTTTGTCTATATAGGTTTCAGAAGGTAGTATGCTTTTAAAAACAATGATATTAGTATTAATAAGCATAAAAAATTAAGAGTGATTTAATATTATGTTTTTCCCCATTGAGTAGGAAGGACCACCTCAATTTGATTTCAATCTACTCATTTAGACCTGATTCTCAGCACTTTATGCCAAGAGTTCTCTGATGCTCCTCTCTCCAGTCAGCCCGGTTTCTTTCCTGTCTTCCAGTTGTACTGTGTTCTCATTGCCAACTCCCTGCAATTTTCTTTAATTTTTCTCCCCTTTCCTGTGTAATTAAATCTCACCCATTTGCCCAAAGTTCTGCCTCAGCCCTAAAGCTTCCAGGGCTGTTGATTACATTGCCCTGCACTTGGCTCTGTCTTCCTTGGGTTCTTTCACATTTATAGTCAGTTGACATCACGTTGATTTGATTTGTTTCTTGTGTGTTGGCTTTATGCCTCAGCTAGCATTCCTTGACGACATGGGCCATATCTGCTGCTGCTTTTGACACATTGATACCCTGTAAGATGCTGTTCAGTGAGTGTTTAATAATTTTCAATAAATCAAATATAAATTACTGAAAGGTTATATACTATATTCAGGCAGGCCACACAGTGTATTTTAATATTTTACTGCTCCTGAATGTGAGTTGAAACTTTGATGTTGAAGATGTTAATTTGGCCATGGTGATGGTCAAATTGCATGTTTGTTGTGTTCACAATAGAATTTTGTGACCGTGAATACATATGATGACCAGCTGGTTTTTCAGATTGAGAGGTTGCTCTCTGGCTTGGAGGTTTAAGAACTTCAAGTAGTGTTTATGGGTCAGGGTTAGGCTTGGCTACAAAGCCATATAACAGATGGACCAAGGTACACTAGATGGAAGTTTAAGTCCCTCTCAAATTTAAAGAAGTTTGGAGGTAGGAAAGTTCCTGGTAACCTCTTAAGTGCTGCTTTTCCTGCTCTGCCTTTTCTTAGTTCTTGCTTTTCTTCTCATGGTTGCGTTATAATCCAGCCATCTTATCCATATTCCAGACATTAATAAAGAAGAGCTGGGACAGGGGAAAAATACATTGTTTTCCTTTTAAGGGGAGTTCATAAAACTCCCACACACTTTATTTATCTCAGTGACCAGAATTGGTCATGTTGCTATATCTGATTGCAAAGAAAACTGGGAAATGTGATGTTTTAGCTTATCAACAGAGTGCTCATACACTGTTGTATGAGCACTTCTCTTAGTGCTTCTAAGAGAAGAAGGGGAAAAATGGTTAGTTGATAGGCAGCTAGCCATTTCTGTCACAAAATAGTATCTTTTGTTCAACTAAAATCCTGTATGAAAGCCCGGTTCCTGAAATAGGTTAGAGAGGAAGCTGCCTGCTTGAAAAGGGGGTTCAGGCTGCCTGGAGCTCTGCCTGATGTGCCCTGAGCCCTTCCCAGACTCCAGAAATCCATTGAGCAGTTTGCTTGCATACCCATTTCCTTAAGGCCTTCTTTGGCTGCCCCAAAGACTTGTAAAAGGAGAAGCTTGGTAATTCAAAAAGTATTTACCTTTATATTTCATTGTAAATTTTTTAAAGCAAATTTACCTCCCTAGTTGCTATATTAATTGCTCTCATGTTTACTGTCAGGCCCTAGAAGTAATTATTGTTAACATTTTGAGTCTATGCTTTATTGTGTTTTCTCAGTCGGTGTTTTTTTTTTTTCCTTACACATCAATTTTTCTCTGTCACAAATGTTTTGTAGTGGATAATTTCACACTTGACATTCAGGAAGCATGATCTTTTTTTCTCTTGCAGGTTTAATAGACTACAACTTCCACTGTTTCCGAAAAGCTATTCATGAGGTTTTTGAGGTGGGTGTGACTTCTCATAGGAGCTGTAGTCACCAGACCAGTGCCCCTAGCCTGAAAGCATTGGCACACAATGGCACGCCACGAAATGCCATCTAGTCTGAATTACAGCATCAGGGCTCGATGCCAGCTTACTCTTCACTCGAGGGTCAGATGCCACGTGCTGCAGGACATGGGAGCTGCTGCTTGTGGGAATCTGGTGCCTGTTCCACTAGAGACGAGGGGTAGAGTTTCTCATTTGGATGAAAACCCCTTCAACCAGCGGTATACAACTGAAGTTACTATTTCTTTTTTTAAAAATGGCAAAAAAAGGAATTCTAGACACCACAGAACTCAAGTGTGTCTTTCTCTTCTTTTGGGTCCTACTCTAAATAGTTGGGATATTTTGGACCTGGAGATCACACCATTTATTCATCATACCAGGGAATGTTGCCATCAATTCCAGCTGAAAATAATAGAAAAAAACTGAATTTTTATATGCTTCCTTTAGGCTTTTGTTTGAGTAGTCTCTAAAACCCTGCTTTGCTTAAGTTCTAACACTGCCTCTCCGATCTCAGTTTTGGACATTGCACCTCTAAGACCTTTGAAATGCACTCGCTTGCTAACTCAGAGGACGCCTCGTCTGATCGCAGCAAAAGACATTCCTGTGATTGTTATTGAAGAAATGAGAGAAAATTTTGTGCTGCATCAGGTGGAGAGCAAGGCTCAACAGTGGCTGCACCCATTCCCTTGGAAGTATTGAGGAAAAAACTTTGAAGCGGAAGAAAATTTTTACACCTGTGTGTTGAATACCAGATATATGAGTTTTTTCCTCCTGCGTTTGATAAATGATCATGCTAAATGTAACAAAGGAGTTTAATTTTTTCCCAACAATCCCCTTCTAGGGGAGAAACTCATTATGTCACTGAAATATTTAGTCCACTTTTCTTTAATCTTGATATCAGCCTCCCCATACCTTTTATTCTAAGCTATCTAGATTCTTTAAGAATTGATGTTTGTTGACCACGAATGACTCTAAGGCACTAGTGAACTCCACTGGATGTTGGAGAGAGCATGCTGTGCCACATGTGTTGTTTAACATACCTTGTCTCCAGTATTCTGACACCAAGTGTCAACTGTGGTACTTACTTCACCTGGGATATTAATTTGTAATTGTTTCTTTTTGTCAGTGGTTGATACCCTTTCTGTTGACTTAAATTTACACATTATTTTTACTCCACATGCCTGGTAGTCATATGTCCCAAAGCCACTGGACCACTTGAGTACTTAAGTGCCACTGTTTAATGGAATATATATATTCAGGTCTGTAAACCTAACAGTGTGACTTGGAGTGCTTCCTTCAGGTGATTTTGACTGTTGAGTATTTACATGGACCATGGTGATATCCAAAAGAAAATGCTTTTATATTTATAGATTATTTCATTGAACTATATATAAAATGGGTATCAATAAATGTATTTACTCCAAAATCAGTTTTTCTACTTGCCTAAGGTATGAGAGGGTGGGGTGATGGAACCTTGGGTTGTCCCACTCTGTCCTCTTCCCATCCATCATCCATTTTCTTTTCTTGTCTGCCTTATTTGGTTAATGTTTCAGGACTTAGAGTTCTATCTTGATATGGGAATTGTGTGCAGACATCTTCCCTGGCCCATTTCTCCTGTGGGATAGGAGGTATAGACTCAGATGCAATGTGTTTTGGTTGGAAGTTGGACATCAGTAAACGTTACTAGTGGGGAATGTCCAAGGTCTGGCATGACTGATACATTGTATCCAAGCTAAGGAATCAGAGATGAGTGACATAGAATACTGTTAGCTGGAATTGGTACCATCTTCCTTTCTTTTTTTCCCCCCCAAGTTCTCGAGATACTCATTATTGACTCTTAAGTGTCTTAAGCCATTTATCTGCATACACGCAGAGCTTAACACAGGGGTTAAGCTGATGAGAGAAAAGTATACGTTAGTTTATCAACAGGATGGAGATAGAGGTTGAAAGATCTTTACTCTCGTATTTGGAATACTTAAGAAGTTAGTTTTAAAACTAAAATGGAAATCAAAACAGTTTGCAAAAAACCTCTTACAATACTGTCTAATCCTGTGTCATTTTTTTAGGTGATAGAAACTGAGGCCCAGAGGGGTAAAGAGCCTTGTTGAGGGTTATAAATAAATGATTATATAATTTAAACCCCAAACCAAGACACTGTTGAAAGAGGAAGAGAGACTGTTCATAATTATGTCTGAGCAATGGGTGTAAACTGGCTCTTTCCCAGGTAAACCAAGGGTGGCCAAACTAGTCACAGATGTAGTTAGTGGCAAAGTAGGGCTTGTACTCCAGAATTGGCAGCCCCACACTGCCTATCTTTACCTCCTTCCTCAGACCCTTGTTGATTAAATAGAGATACTACTTCAAGATGTATATGGTACAGCTCTGTGTGGTGGTGTATGCTGGTAGTTCCAGCTACTCAGGAGGCTTGGGGCCAGCCTGGGCTATACAGACCCTCTCTGTAAAAAAAAATTGTATTGCATAGATGCCCCTTAAATATTGCTTTTAGCTATGACTACTGAAAAATTTAAATTCAGGGAGCAATTAAAGAAAATAGTGAAATAGAATTTAATTGAATGTGAAACGCAGAATAATATAAAAATGTTAAAGGGGGTTTAGGTGAAATGTTTTGCATCCCGGTGGACGTTATTATTTCACAGGAAAGGCAGTGAGTGAGTAGCTCCTCCAGCTTTTCAGTTTGGCTGTGTCCATTTACTAAGCATTTGGCCTCTAGGTGGCGGTGTTGTATTACATAAACACATGGCTAGCTTTCTGACTTCTGTTCTGAAAGTTGATTTTTGACCAACCCAAGTAGAGATTTAAAGAATTTCTGAATTTATTTCCCCTAAGATAATATTCAGGACTGATATGAGTCATTATATTGGAAATGGAGCAATTTGCAACATTTTTAAAGAAAAGACTGGATAGGAACAGCCAACAATAAAAAATTAAAAAAAAAAAAAAAAGACTGGATAGGGACGAAGATCATAACATCATTTGCTTTATGAATTATGAGTTAGAGGCTTTAGGAAGATAGCTCTATATGCATTCCTATAATAGGCAGAACTTCTTGCTCCTTCAGCCATCTGTTGTAGATATGTGTGTCCTTAAAGACTTCCATGGAAGGAAATGCAACATATCTGAATTAAAATACATCTTTCATCATTTTCCTTTGCCTTAAATGAGGTTTGTTGAAATTATTTCACATGTGGGTTTGAGAGAGGGTATTACAAAAAAAAAAAAAAAAGCTGCATCACATTACCTTTTCATGGGCACTTGTTTTTCTTTTAGAACCTCATCTCTGTAACCCCCAGCTATGACTTTGTTCTGCAGAGATAAATTTTAATGTAAAAGTTATTGGATTCATGGATGCATGTTCATATCTGTTTGAAATATTGCAAATAGTTACAATGAGGAACTGAATGGCAGGAAATCAGCCCCTCCCCAACTTCAGTGAGCCATTTTTACCAAATGTGCTGCCCTCAAGGTGTTGCAATTTCCACCTGAAGATTCTTAGACTTTAAAATGCACCTTCTAAACTGAGTGATCAAATATCAGAAGGAATGTGGGAGATGATTAATTTGGTTCATTACACCATAACCTGCAGAGCTTGGATTATACAAATGGAATATTAATCTTATGCAGTGTTCTTTTTGTTTTTCTTTTAAAAGGAGGTGCTGTTACACAGTTTTAGTAAATTGTGCATATCTTGTCGTTTCTTTTGATGTCCTCTCCTGTCTTTATTCAGATTAGCAGAGTATACTGAGAATTCCAGTGCTGCTTTTTTTGTGTTGCAGTTAATGAGTCAGCTAGGAAGGGAATGTTAGTTTTTTTTAAATTATTTTGTATTTGTACACAAAAACATAAGTGTGTATGTTACGGGGGTACCATGTAATGTTTGACACATGTATACACCACATAATGTTTAAATCAGATTAAACATGTTTTTCTCCTCAAACATTTACTATTTCTTGGTGGTGAAACTTTCAAATTCTCCTAGCTTTTTGGAATGTACAATGCATAATTGTTATCTGTAGTCTCTATGTTATGCAGTGGCACACCAGATCGTCTTGCTCCTAAGCACCCATTGGTCAACCTTTCTCATCTGTGCCTGGGAATGTTGTTTATTTGAGCAGACCAGGCCTATATTATTCCAAAAAAGCAGTACTGGAATTCTCTGTGTTGACTTTGTTCCAGCAAAGGCACTGGCTTTACAACTTTGGAAGATGGACTTAGAGGTATTCTATAGCCCTACAAACCATTTTTATGGTACTTGTCTTGACATTGGAAATGGAGCTGTTGATCATTTCCATGTGTGGAGATTGTTTTTGTGCTGCAGTGTAGTCCTCACTGGTTAGATGTTTAAGACTGAGGCTCTTGGGCTCTTTCTTTACCACATGGTTCCTATGGCAGTCTGTTGGTGGAAACAGGATGGTTGAGACAGGCCATTTGGCAAAAAGGAACTCTCATAATTATGAGTCAGGTGTGGCAGGACCTCAGTAGAATGTCCCCTGACAGTTTGGTTATGGAGCTGGATGGAGGGGAAGGAGCTGAGCTGCAGAAGGGGCCAGAACTCTAGGGAGGGCCATGGTGAATCTGTGGAAGGAGGATGATGAGACAGAATTTGGAATGGTCCTTATATCAAGAAGGAAATCAGAGGGCTGGGATTGTGGCTCATTGGTAGAGCACTTGCCTAGCATGTGTGAGCACTGGGTTTGATCCTCGACAAAAAAAGGTCTATATTCTTAAAAAAAAAAAAAAAAGAAGAAGGAAATCAGAAAGGAAAGAATGCTCACTACCAAAATGGAGCACAGAGACCTGAAGATGAGAACAAATGGGAGGACTTTTTCCTACGAATATTGGTGTCCTTGAAAGACCTTCAAACTAGAAATCTGGGCTACTATACCTCTGTAAGTAGTTGACTCACCTTGTCCAAGGTAGCATTAAATCCTTAAATTATTTATTCTTTTTTTTTTTTTTGGTGGTGCTGGGGATTGAACCCAGGGTCTTATGCATGCAAGGCAAGCACTCCACCAATTGAGCTATATCCTCAGCCCAAATTATTTATTCTTGATTTCTTTCAGATCTAAGATAATGGTTGGAAAAGAACTTGTTTAACTGGTATTAGTTTTCATTTTACTCCAGTGTAGGCCTTTCCCACATTCTGTCTCAATTTTAATGGAAGTTTCAATGATTATCTTTTTTGTTTTTCTTCTAGTTACAAGGTTTTTATTAAGAAAATGAAGAATCATGCCTTTCCGTTAATCCTACTTTCCCACCACCTTTGGAGATTTTTATATTAGTCCCATCTAGTCCTCAACTAAATTTTCCTTTACATAAGAGTTCCATTAGACTTCAAGAAATGAACTCTCTACAAGGAAAGCATTGTTTCTAAGAAGTCAAGATTCATAATTGGGATATTAATACCTTTATTATATAACACAAGGTCCCAAATGAAAATCCTGCAACGATGTACATATGTAAATATTACCGTAATTATTTTTAACTAAATGATTTGTCTTTTAGATTCTTTAAAAAAATCTGGACTAGCCTATAATGATAATAATATTATTTATCATCATCATTATTAGCAGTAGCATTAGTATCTTAATGATTCAAATGTTTATAACTTGCCAGCCCTTATTCTGAGAGCTGTACTTGTACCTTTTCACCTGATCCACCCAATGTCATGAGGTGGTTGTGGCCCATTTTACAGATGAGAAAACTGAGCATCGAGAGGAAGGAATTCCCAAGAACATATTTACTAGTTTTCTTAGTAGTGCTTGGACTTGAAGTCCCGTCTAGCTGAGGTTAAAACAAAGTTCAGCCTTCTTGGTGATAAAATTCCTTATAGGTCAAATCTACAAAAAGAAGAAAGGTAAATAGCTACAGGAGGACCCCAAACAATTCTACCTGGAGATCCTTGAGAGGAACTACATCACTCATTGTGGCAGAGGCATGGTACCTGTTCACCAAACACTCTTCCTCTTCTTCTTAGGCACAGGGATGATATTTCTATCCTCCCTTGAAGTTGGGGATGGTGGTGTCAGTTCTAGCGATAGAATGTTAATAGAAGTGATGTACACTGCTTTAAGGTCCAGCCCATACATCCTCTCCTGCATTTAGTGCTCCATGCTCTTTCTCTTCATGATAGATCACTTCAGATGAGTTCATTAACATTGGGTGTTGACTTAGAAAGAACCTGGATTCCTGGGACACATTGTGGAAGCCTCATCTGCTGACCAGAAATACTTGCATTGAACTGATACATAAGCAGCCTAGAGATGGCTCTGTTTAAGCCTTTGAGATTATGGGCTTTATTTGTTATAGCAGCTGATCTTATCCTAACGTATACACCTAAACAACATTTGGGTCATTATTTTTGGTTAAGAGCTCAGACAGTGAGTGAAGAAGGAAATATCTTTGTAAAAAATGAACTAGAGAGATCCAGTTTTTGTGACCAGTTGCTAATGAATAGCAACGATGATGATAACAACAAGTGTTTTTCAGGAGAAGGTGATTATAATGATTACAGAATTTGAAGTCTGGGGTTTGTTGGCTGCTCTTCAGGCAAAATTCTAATGCAGGGAGTTCACTGAATGAACTAGAGGCATTCCAAGAGCTACTGAGCTTGTGTGCAAAATGGATGTAGGGAACTGGACCTTTCACTGCATTCGAGAAAGTGAAGAACTGGTTGTGAAACTGAGCACAAGCCACTTATAAGGCTTATTTGGAACAAAAATGCAAAACGGAACTTGGCTGCATGTTCTGGATTTCACATTTTTTCCTCTGGGGTTTCCAGTTCTGCCCCTTATACATGTAAAAACTATAAAAGGAGCTCTTTTCTTGAAGCTGATGCATTAGCATGTGGCACAAGTGTCAACGAGCAAGTGAAACAGTCTGGGCAACAGAATCATGAATTTAAAGTGTACCTGTCTTGTGGTCAAGTAGAAGGCAATAGTTTTAGGAATAAAAGTAAGCCTGGATCATTGGTTTACCCATTTGGCCTACTGCCCTCTTTTCTCTGTGTCCAGGTATCTCCATTGCTTGGCTCAGGGGTGGGGGGTTCGCTCCTCCTCTAGCAAGCCTTCCTTTCCTTGCTCTCTTCTTAATCTCACTTCTCCATAGATCTCCTGGCCCTCATTTTAGTCCACCTCGTTGCTTCCTTTGCTTTTGCTGTATGTTTAATAAAGTCCTGTCAGGGCCATCACTAGGCCAAAGGCCAGGGCCAGGGCATTGGATCCCTTCCGTATCCAGCTGGGCTTTCACTGCACACTCAGTATGGACTTGGCTGAGCTGGGGAACAATGGGAACAAGGTAACAACAGGATAGGGAGCTGTAAATGCTGACCCACTGGAGGCTGTTAGAAGCAGTGATTTTTTTTTTTGGGGGGGGGGCTTGCTGTGAACAGCACATGATGTGCTAATTGTCTCCTCTGGGCTGGGGTTCAAGCCAGCGGCTTATTCACTCAGTCACAGATTTATTAAATGCTTACTGGGTGCAAAGCTCTATTTTAGGTTTTAGGTTCTATCAGTGAACAAGACAGCAGAATTCTTGCCATCATAGTATTACTGAATTTCATCTTGACAAAAGTTAGGATGCAGATAGGGAAAAATGGGCTCTGTAGAAGTGAAGTGTTTCCCCTGAAGATTCCCAGATGGTGAGTGAGTGTTGATCATCTGACACCAGGTCGCACAGGCTTGTCACCATACCATGAGGGTGAGAGGAGAGATGAGAGGCAATTTAAGGATTCTGTTTAGTGTTTGTGTTTACATAAGAATGGAAAGCTTGCCAGGCTACATGCTACATGCTTGTAATCCCAGCGGCTTGATTCCCAGGCAGATGAATCACAAGTTCAAAGCCAGCCTCAGAAACTTAGGCCCTAAGCAACTTGGGGAGATCCTGTCTCACAACAAAAAAATTAAAAAGGGCTGGGGAAGTGGCTCAGTGGTTAAGCACCCCTGGGTTTAATCCCTGGTACCAATAAAACAAAAACAAAAGAAAAGAAAAAAATGAAAGCTTGAGGTCAAAATTTACTATAAATAAAACAAGAAATAGGAAAAACATGTAATAGACAAAGTTAATATTTTTAAATACAATTTTACAAATCAGTAAGAAATGCATTCCAAAAATAAAACGAGGAAAAGACATTAGTTATGCATATAAGCACAAAGTAGAAGAGGCCAAAAACATAAAAAATCCTAACACCTCACTAATAATAAGAGAAACACAAATTAAAATAATGAGCTTCCTTTTCTCTTTATCAAACGGGCATCTTTTCAAAGGATGAAACTCCATGTTGATGAGAGTACAAGAACAGGATCTTTTACATGCTTCAGCGACCAATTTTAGGATGTTCTTAAATAGATCGATTCTTGTACTTCTTTAAAATAACATAGATTTGAAAAGTCTCATTACTTTTTTTTTACCATATTAACAGTGTCTTCCAATTTTTCTAGAGTAAATGAATATGTATTCTTTTTATAATTAACAATATCCATATATGCATTTTTTAAAATCCCATAAAAGTTGAAAATAAACTAATGAGGGGATGTTTACTGGTTTTTAACACGTAGAAGAACATGATCCTAGACTCAGAACAGGAGATGGAGTTATTGTCTGCAGTTTTCATGGTGTCAAATTGCCTTTCCTTCGTACGTACCTCTGTCCTGTGTCTGTTTCCTTTCAGCTCCTGTTAGATCATCAGAGTCTCCAGTATTTTGAGTATGGGCTGTACAGTTTCTGTTTTATTTCATGTTTGTATCAGCCGTCCTCAGCCTTAGCTGCACTCTACAAGCTCTTGGGGGTGAGCTTAGGAAATAGTGATAGTGGACATCCCAAACCAGTTCAGTATGGCTGCCCCACTGTGACTTACTGGTCTCTGGGCCCAATCAAACTGTATTTTCTGTGCCTAGGCCTCAGTTGTGTGACAGAGTGCAGATCTGATGAACTAAATGGGTTTGGTTTCCCAGCTCCTCAAATATAAAGGTTTTTGACTTTGCTGTTGCTTTTTGTGTGTGTGCTAACCCAAAATGTCAAACAGAGACACACACGAGGTGTCAGATGTGTATCTGTTAGTGCATTGTTCTGTTTTCTTCTAAATTCCTGGGCTGTGACAGCTCAGTGTATCTGCAGTTAGTACATGGTTTATTGTGAGAATTTCAAAGCAAGATAAATTTTGATTCACTTGGTTAAACAAAGAAATATGTTGCATTGCACTATTTGACAAGAGTAATAATTAGCCACCAAAGAGTAGTGCATTTATCCATCCCCGGCACTCCATAGGTACCCAATAAATAAAGGCTGAATGAACGATAACATTGAACCAGGGCAGTACAACATCTTTCACTTTACACTTGTTTCTTATAATAGTATCTTGTAAAGGTAGTACAA